AAATTATTATATGTAATACGCTGAAATTTTACAGGTAGACAACTGAACTAAACAACTAATTATTGGCATAACATTCAGTTTATATATCCACACACAGGTTTATCGGTGGCCAAAAAAGGCCGCACACATTGTGATCGTGAACGTGGAGAGCTACATTTCATCATAACTTTTTAGTCAATTACAGTATTCTTACGAAAATTCGTATACATTTGAAGGTAGTTACAAGCAATAGAATAACGTTTCAAATAAGTCTTAAGACGTCTTATTTAAAGTGTTAGGACGTATTTAAGTGTTTTCATACTTACCTAAATAATTTTTAAACGGTCCATTATTTTTGTTATTTTATTGTCGAACAAATTAAAACTAATCCTTAAGAAGTTATGTACAAAAGATGGTTACAATCCGCTTACCCGTTTCAGAGATCCAGCAAACCCACAAACGTTACTCCAGCAGGATTTCGAATAACTTCGCAACCGAAGAAAATACAAATACCAAATAAGTTGTAACATTTACCTAGTCCAGATAACTAATTATTTAGCTAAAATTTATTTCAATATTACAATTAAAAAAGAAAATGTCTGGCTGCGGTAACGTTTCAAACGTTACTCCAGCAGGAAATGTTTTTTTTAAATAACTAAAAAAGTTTAAGTGAAACAAATTTAAAAATGTGCTTAACAATTACAGAAGGGGAGCAACTAATTATCTATAAAGTTTAAATGACCATTTTCGACATTATTTTGCTGGGGTAACGCACACCAAATCATTGCGGGATGGATGAAGTGGTGGCAGATAATAGGAACTACTTGCAATCGCAAGCTACCTATTACATTAAAGCGACAAATATACCAAACGATCATTAGACCTGCCGTCCTGTAAAGTAAAAAGTCCTGTAAAAAGTCAAAAAGCCGTCTGAAAGTTGGATCATTAAGAGGACGGATGACAGAATCCTGAACGCAGGTAAAATGCGAATCCTGAGATAGATGTGTGGTGTGACTCAAATATATAGTCAGGCAGGAGGATACCCACATAAGGGAGTCTGAAAGTAACGCTGCTGGATGAAAAAATTGTAAAGATAAGAAGTAATAGGTACGTTATCTTGGTATGGATATTTCATGATGAGATGAGAATAATGTGGCGAGGAAAGTGTTAGGTACGGGTGTTGAAGGGTACATAAGAAAAGAACGACCAAAGAAAAGGTTGATGGACTGTGTGAAAGAGGTTACGGCTAAGAAGAAGGGTGAACAGTGAAATGACGAATGATAGAGTAGAATGGAAGAAAAATACATACAGATGATGATGACTGTTACTAACAATCAATAAAGCAACATACAAAAAATAAATCAACAAGTCAAGGTCAGGAACATATTTTTTTATAGTATAAAGGGGCAAACGAGCAGATGGGTCTGCTGATAATAAATAACTACCGAAACCAATACATGGCTGTCCCACGGCAATACATTTAATAACAACTGCTACTTACTTTGGTCACTCGGTCGTTACTCATTGGTTTCAGATTGATACGATTTCAATTTGTTTTATAACATTCATATTAGAATTTTATATTCGTTGAAGCATATTCCCTCCAACCTCAAAACGATAAAAGATTTAACTTTACTTATTCTATTCTTCTGCTTATTATCAAACCAAGAGGCGGACACGGAATTATTTCGCTAGTCTGCCCAAACTCCAATTTTTCAACTTTGAATTCTTTGCATTCTGCGGACATCAATAAAATCATCCTGTCTGTCTGTTCGTTTGTTCGTTAGTTCTGACGCAACGTTAGCCATAGGTGTAAGTGACCGACTGATGGACAACGTCCAAATGGCTACAGATTCCGTGCTGCAGCAGAGCCCATCCGCGGAGATCGTGATACTCGGCGACTTCAACGCTCACAACGCCGAATGGCTTGGCTCACGTAAAACCGATCACGCGGGGAGATCTGTTCACGATTTCGCCTTGACCTATGGCTTGGCTCGGATCATTGTCTAATCCGTAGTACAGTGCCACTCACGTGCTTGACGCGGCCGCGGGTTCAGGCTGCCGCCGTGTATGGCACTATAGGTCAGCGGACTGATGGGACACGGTGCTTCTTTGCATCCTACCCATGGATGCAGGGCTGTTTCTTGCCGGATGATCCCACCGTCGTTGCTGATTCTGTCACTGATGTGGTACTTCAGGGAATGGAACTATTCATTCCTTCTACATTAATTCCCATCGGTGGCAGATCCAAGCCCTGGTTCGACAGATCCTGCAAAACGGCGTACCGCCGAAAGCTTTTATGGTACCAAGCATGGGCAAATACAACGACGGCAGCCGATGTAAATACCAGCACGCTAAGAAAACAATATAACCTCAATATATTGCCTCCAGGTCCCTTAAAAGATCCATTGCTAGGGCGAAATTGAAGCACATCAGCCGCATCGGTGAGAGACTGGTGAGACTTTCTTCTGGAAATCGTGCATTCTGATTTTTAGCGAAGGCTGTCCAGGGTCACCGTCGGCAGGGGTGGCTTCTGTAGCCAATCCTTTCCACCTCTGCCGATGGTAGATAAATCGTTGGCCTATGATGCCTAGGAAGAAGCCGATCTCATAGGCAAACTCTTTGCATTCAACTCGGCTTTGGATGATGGGGGAAACGTACCGAGCCATATTCCGGATATCCGGTTCACAAAAAAATCAGTGCGTAAAGCACTCTTTGTCCTCGACATTCATAAGTAGTGTGGGCCCGACGGAATCTCTCCTCACGTGTTGAAGACGTGTGCTCCGGAGTTGGCACCGGTTTTAACGCGCCTTTTTCGTCTCTCCTACTCCCGAACTCCTGGAAGGTAGCGTCTGTGCACCCGATCCGTAAAAAAGGTGACCGCTCCGACCCGTCCAGCTACAGGCTTATAGCCATAACCCCTTGTTCTCTAAGATTATGGAATTCATAATCAACTGCCAGCTCCTCTGGTACTTGGATGATCACTAGATACTCAATGACAGACAATATGGTTTTCGCCGGGGTCGCTCAGCTGGTGATCTTCTCGTCTTTCTAACACACCGGTGAGCACAGGCGATCGAGACCAAAGACGAGTCTTGTACGGTTGGTTTGGACATAGCGAAGGCCTTCAATCGGGTCTGGCATAAGGCGCTTCTCTCGAAGCTCCCTTCTTTTGGGCTTCCCGAGAAATTGTGTAATTGGGTCACCAGTTTCCTTGCGGACAGAAGCATTAAGGTCGTTGTCGATGGTGCATGCACCGACTTGAAATTCGTAAATGCTGGTGTCCCACAAGGCTGTGTGATATCACCCACAATGTTTCTTCTGCATATTAATGACATGTTGCAAACTAGTAGCATCCACTGCTATGCAGATGATAGCAGATGCCCACTATGCTTATGAAATTGAAACTTCCTTAGCGGAGGTTTTAGATTGGGGACGACTAAATCTAGTCCAGTTCAACCCAAAAATTACACAGGTCTGTGCGTTCACCGCAAAGAAGATACCATTTGACGTATCACCTCGGTTTGTGAGTACCTTCCTAACTGCCTCAGCCAGCATTGGAATCCTAGGCATCGACATATCGAGCGAAGTCCAGTTTCGGGGTCACTTAGAAGGTAAGATCAAATGATTTCATTCCGGCCCACCGTCTTCAGCTATATAAGGCGCAAGTCCGGCCGCATTTGGAATACTGTTCTCATCTGTAAGTAGGGACACCTCAGTACCAGCTTCTCCCTCTGGACCGCACCCAACGAAGAGCGACTCGAATGGGCGGCGATGGTCACTTTCCATCATTTTTATTTGTTGTATGTGTGTTTTAAAGGTCCGTCCATAGCATACTACTCCATAAGAAATTAACGATTCCACACACGAGCGCATAGTAAACAGTATATAAGGTAGCCCTGTTTGGTACAAAACTGAGGTGATGGAATTTCACAAATAATAGGTACGGATCGAAGTTTTTTGCAACCCTAATTGTGTTATCAGCATTTTCCTTTAGAATTTTCTATCAAAAGTTATACCTAAGTACTCCCCATCACTCCCAATATTTGTACATGCACACTCCACAGCAACGTTTACCGGTGCTGCGGGTCCTGTGCAAGCACTTAAAACTGTGACGCGCGGCGCGCCCTCTCTTTGTTTTTCGCATAAGGTGATTATATATGCATACATTTAGTTTTATTTATATAAATTACAATGCCGTTATAATGTGACTATTTTATGATATAAGTTAAATCAGCATGCAACTTACTTTCTATCTCACATAAGTTTTGACTCAAAAACGTCAACACACTTGAGGCTCTTAAGTTGCAGGTGTCCATGGGCGACTATAGTCCCTTACCATCAGGTGACCAGGTGATAAAAAAACCGGAACTGCCAGGACTAAGCCATATATCATATAATTTGCTTCTACAGTTGTCTAATATGACAGGAAAGTTTTAAAAAACATCATCTATACCTTTTGAAGTATTATAAATCATGTATCATTATAAATCATCATCAATATAAATCAATGTAAATAATACATTATTTCTAGGAAATATTCTATATTAGGTGGGTCACCCTTGTCATTTAGGGGTATGAAAAATAGATGTTGGCCGATTCTCAGACCTACCCGATGTACACACAAAATTTCATAAATATGTATGTAAATAGTATGGTACTAACATTGTGACACGAGAATTTTATATCTTAGAAGATTAATCAGTAATTTGTTTTAAATTGATGAGGGTGAAACAGGCTACAAAATATTAATAGCTGTAATACATAATTTAATAAATATTTTGTTTATTCATAACATTAAAGTTTTTGTTGACTAGTAAGTAAAGTTACAGAATATCCTTATATATCTCTAAATATTGTAACTAAAATATAATAAGTTCAATAATACAGTATGTACCTATGGTTGTTTGATACTTGGTTCACTTAAAGGTACCTAGTTAAGCTTACTAGCATAATTATAAATTAATATTATTTGAAGCCACTGGACACAAATTTTTATTCTTAAAAATTCTTATAATAAGTTACGGTTCACCTTTAATATTTTGTAATCTCTTCTCCAGTAAATCTTTGTCCAATTTATGCATACATAAAAATTGGCCATTAAGAAATAATACAGGTATGTCATGCCTGTACAATCGTAGCCATCTTAAATTTTTCTTTTCAGTGATGTCTACTTTTCTTATTATAAGTTTATCTTTGTAGGGTTCTAATTCTTCCATGACTACATCACACAGGCTACATGGGTCTTTAGTGTAAAATGTTAAAACTGGTGGTCTATGTGCATCCTGCTCTCTGAAAACAGTAAATCACAGGACCAATTAATAACACCTTTTATTAAAAATATTTTATTAACTTCTTTGATCATATGTAAATACTATTCCAAACATTCATATGCTTAGCCCCTATTATATTTTTATTTATAAAAAATGAAAATAAATATTTTTGACAATATGATAAAAGTCATTTAATTCTTAAAGCTATGCTTTATAAATATTTAATTCTTAACAGCAAATAAATTCTAAAAGGCACAGAAATAAAAACAACAATGTGTCAGCATTTTGTCTGAGACTTACAATTTTTCAATCATGATAGACGAGGCACCACCTCCCCCATTACAAATAGAAGCTACACCCTTTTCTCCTTTCTTAAGAGCATGGCATAAATGGATAACAATTCTTGCTCCGGACATTCCAATTGGATGACCTAGGCTTACGGCTCCACCATGAACATTAATCTTGGCAGGATCAATTTCCAAAATTTTCTGGTTAGCAACAGCAACAACACTAAAGGCTTCATTGATCTCCCACAATGCTATATCATCTTTTTTGACACCTGTTTGCTGAAGAAGTTTTGGAATAGCAATAGCTGGTGCAATAGGGAAATCAATTGGATCGCATTCACCATCAGCAAATCCGACAACCCTAGCAATGGGTGTAACTCCTAGTCTTTGAGCAGCTTCAGCAGTCATCAGAATCATGGCAGCAGCACCATCATTCAAAGTAGAGGCATTACCAGCTGTAACGGTTCCATTATCTTTTTGGAAAACAGTAGCCAATTTTGTGAACTTTTCAAAGTTAACTCTCTTGTATTCCTCATCCTCTGAGAACATAAGTGGTGGGGCACCCCTTTTCTGTGGTACTGGCACAGGTACTAATTCATCAGCGAAAGCTTTAGCTTCATAAGCTGCAGCACTTCTCTTATAGCTAGATATCGCATAATCATCCTGTTGCTGTCTAGAAATGTTCAATTTTTTTGCTGTATTTTCAGCACAATTGCCCATGTGAAATTTATTATAAACATCAGTCAAGCCATCAAAAACTATACCGTCCACTAACTGTATGCCACCATATGCAGTTTCACCTCTTTTCAAATAGTAAGGCACATTTGACATAGATTCCATTCCTCCAGCTAGTATTACGTCTTGTGCTCCTGTTTGCAAACCCTGCGCTGCCAACATTATGGATTTCATGCCTGAAGCACATACTTTGTTTACTGTTGTGCAGATAGTACTTTTAGGTAATCCAGCAAAAATTACAGCTTGTCTAGCAGGAGCCTGGCCCATGTTTGCTGGGCATACATTTCCAATGTAAACCTGAAATAGACACAAAAATTAGCAATTTATAAATATAAGTTCACTTACACAATATAATAATACTATATATACAATTTTAAATTAATTTCCTTTTGCAGACACTATGTTGTAGAATTAGTATGTTTCCTCTTTACCGGGTAAAGTAGTTTTATGTAGTATGCACCCTACATTTGCATGCCTCATCTACTTTATAGAATGCAGTAATTATTTACAATAATGTATATTTAAGGTAACACACTTCTTTGCCACCTTAGCAGTTTATAAAAATGTAAAAAGGTCACAACCACCAAATTAGATGTTTTATGTAATATACTGATAACAAAGTGTTATCATCATCATGTGTATTCATATAAGATAATTACCAACTTTTTGATAATGTTTCTAATGAGCACAGATTTTCAATTTAATTTATTTAAGGAGATAAACAAACATAAACACTTTAATAACATTAGATACGAGTTCATAACTGTTCATGCTTAAATTATAACTGTAAATCGTTAAGTTTAAAGAGAAAGTAGACGAAATCAATTAACCTCTTTAATTTCTTCTTTGGGAATGCCAGCTCTCTCAACGGCGCCTTTAATTGCTACTGCCCCCAGTTCCGAAGCTGAAAGAGGTGCTAAGCTGCCCCTAAAGGATCCCATTGGCGTTCTCACTGCTGATGCTATAACCACTTCGTTGAGAGAAACTTTTGAAGAGTACGCCGCCATCGCTCTAAGAAGCTGTTGATACAATCGTTCACAAAATAAACTTTAACTTAAATGTAATAAATTTTATTAGAACAACAATTTAAAAAATCGGATAGCTCAGGGCTTCTTATCTAGCGAAGCCTTCGACTACAACTGAGACGATGGGTAAAATAAACTTACAATTTATACAAAGACCAACCTTAGTTGTGGGGCGCATATTGATGGTAATTATTCTACTTCCCTTTAAAAGCAACATGATTTATTCACCGTGTAAAGCTGGTGACGAACTGATTGAAAATGATATTTCTTATCGCGTACAAAATTATAAAAAAAGAAACATTTACATCAACTTTATCTCTACTGAGATTTCTTGACTTCGTTTTCAAATAAAAATTTTAAAGTCTTTGGAATAAGGTTGAAAGTTGTATTTCAACCGTGGACTATTTTGCATCAGATACTTTGACCCCTAGATCGTTCAATTCACAAACCTGATACCATTGCAGGCTATACAGCACATCAATGGGTGTGAATTGTATAGTTTGAAGTCAGATATACAATGGTAAATAAAAATAACTACCTAATTTAAATTATAAATAACAATTACGTACTTTTATAAAAAAAAAAACAAGATATTACACGATTGATCAATAAATACAAATTTTAGTTTTGTTGTTTTGCTACAGCTTTAAAACGGACATCCGCAGATCAATTGTTAATTAAAGAGAGAAAGAAGATATATCACTTTAGTTATTTATGCGCCAATCACAACCATTAATTACAAGTTAAAATGATGTTTGAATAGCAATTGGTTAAATTTATGTCAAAAAGACAATTCGTGTCCGAAGCGACAGCAACAATATGTCAATTTTTAGAGTTATGTCATTTAATTCCATTTGATTTAATAACTTAAAAGGAAACAGTGTAGTTATTTAAAAAAAAATACATTTAAAAACGACATGAATGTATCGACACGAAAGGTATATAAAGGTATATAGTAACAAACTATAATTTTAAATGTTTTTTTTTGGCATATCATATTAAAAAAAAATTCAATACATCTACAAAATAAGTGTAACGTGTAAAAGGAATTAGAATTACTGATTTTTTTTGTACAATTTCATTGGTTCTTATTGACTAATCTTCTTTTTAGGAACTACAGGAGGTACTTATAAACATGAATTGATAGCATAGTCATGGTGTTGAGAACTAGGAACATGGAGATAGCAGAATAGAGAGAACACGGGGTATAGCTGTCTGTAAGTGGAAGGGGTTCCCTCTATCTGGCAGAATCTTGTTTCTCCGAAATTTATTTCGCATAACACTTCTTTAAACGAATATGTTTAAGGCATAAAAAATATTGAGTATAATTAATGTTCGGCCGAATGTTTGTATGTCCAAATTTACAATGGCACACTTTTAAGATGGCATCATTTTATTAAGCATGTGGCAACATTGTTGCACATCACTATGAATGAAATACGTAGTATCATGACAGTGCAACACTATTGGCTGTCAGTTTCTCGTCTCTATGACATTGATTTTTAGCTTGCTACAAAATGGATACTGTAACAATTGGTGATTGTATATAAAGTTAAATATAAATCTTATTTCTGTGAGACACATACGGCAGTTTTATTGACAACAACACGTAAAATAAACTGGTGAACTGGCCACCGTGATTTCGGGCCTTACGACACTAAAAGCATAATCACCTTTGGCAGAGTTAAAATTCCAGATAATTTCGTTAGCATAACGTTTATTTAGAGCGACGATTATTTGGTACGATTTCACTTGGCATACATATAAAGATGGCAGAATTTCACTTGGAATCATTTTTTAGGTATATTGCCATAAGATAGAATTTTAACCTTAAATTAAAATATTACCTTAAAAATTCATGTCTTGCTACAAAAGTATGTGTCAGAAACGAATAGCCGCAAAACCGACTCCACTTGTCTGCCCTACCCCTAGAGTGTAATTTAAGGCCGCGTAGGCGCGGAGGGGCGAAGCCAGCCATCAAGCCGAAGCTGCGGTGGTGAACGTTGAATTCATCTGCGACGTTAAGCTCGCGTGGGACCGCCAGAGCTCCGCAGCGCCAGCTGTGACAGATATGCTGCATGCCACATTCTTGCTTGCATGCTGCATGCTTCCCTGCATTCCTGCTTGTATGCTGTGTGCTTGCCTGTTTGCTTGCTTGCTTGTTGGCATGCTTCTTATAGGGAAATAAAAACCAAATCTTTCGAGATATTATAGTTCTGCCTCTTAATGACTATCGATATGAAATTTATGCTCAAAGACAATTCTGACTATGAACTTTTGGCGATATGATGGTTCTACTTTTTAATTATTATGGATATGAAGTTTATGCCTTAAGTTGATTATGACTTACAGAATTATGAGTTTTGAATTTATAATAAATGGGTGTCTGCCAAACGATTTTCTGCGAAATGTAGTTTATGCAATCCGTTGTTATGCAAATTAATATTATGACATAAAAAGTTCTGCTATAAAGGGGGGATCATAGTAGAAGCAAATAGCTTCCACTATGGCAGGCAACGAGAGAGATGGATGCCCGATATTTCCCTCTGTCTCTGTTTTGCTAAGCTGCGATTGGTTACTTTTTAATCCAGCTTATATTCCTCGGCCAATCACAGAGCTCGGCTAGGAAGAGATAGAGGGATCTATTTATTATCCTTCTCTCTCGTTGATTGAAAGATCATAGTAAAATTAGATTACCGATTCGATCCTCGATTACAGTACGATACTTTACTACGAAAATATATTTTAAAACAGTTGTGAGATCGAAAGTTGATAGGAACTGAATTGAGACTAAACTTTTATTACGAAAATTGGCCTTCAGATCTTCGGAGCAGAATAGTATTGTTAACTAATTATTTTAAATAATTTAGCATTAATTATTTAATTCCATATCCATATTAAGTAAAAAAAAACTGAAATAAAACAAAAAGATCTGATAAGCTAAATATAATAAAAATAATGTCATTAGCGTAATTAAATTCATAACATTAAATTCATAAATAACAGAAACACTTAATTTTGAGTGCAACGAGACACAAAAAAAAAGAAATTTAAAAACTGCGGGTAAGAGACGCTGGGTTCACGTCGTCTGCTTTGTTTTTGGAATTTAAGATAATTGATTTTTTTCATATATATCAACTATCCACTGTATTAAATGTTTATTTGCTTGCTCTCTAGTCCATACCATAGATATAGATTCCAATAGACAGAGACAAAGTGCGTACCTGCAATTAGTGATGTGCCGAGTCGCTGTTTTGGTGGATCGAATCGACTCGAGTCGGTTTATACGGTATTCGAGCCCAGTACTCGAGTTCTATGTTTGGTATTCGAATGTTAACTCTAGTCCAGGACTCGAGTTTAAGACTCGAGTCTAGAAATTCGAGTCCAGAACTCTAGTCTGGAAATTCGATCTAGAACTTGAGTCTAGAAATTCGGGTCCAGAACTCTTCTCCCCTAGGATAGGGCCTGATTAGGCATGGCATGGAAATAACATGGTCCGGGTCCTCCCCAGAGTAGGACACCTGAGGCCGGCCGTCGGGGGGGTTTTTAGTGGAATCACCACCACACACCACACCATCACACCAATCACTCCTGGCTCATAGTCCCCGAGGAGCAGAAGATCCGAAGGGATTTTCCACCCCAACAACAAAAAAAGACGTGTGGCACTCGGGGACTGGCGCGGTAAAGCTATTGCATAGCATTTTGTATCAAGTTATGCAATTATAATTATTTATTTATTTTATTTATGCAGTATTTCTTTTTCTTTAATATTAATTCAAGTTACACTTTTTGAGCGTGGTGACCGATAAGAAAACAATTTTTTTTCTTTTATTAAATAAAAATATTGAAGCATATATTACAATTTGTTTTTAAATAAATAAATAAAAAATATTATTATTAAATCAAATTACATATCCATGTAAGATTTTTCTGCATTATGTTGACGAAATTTCCTTTGACGTTCAGCATTTGATTTTGGTACTGTTTTTTGTTTTGTTTTTAGCGTGAGGTTTTTTTCGTTACGGAATTTCTGGATTCGGTCCCCGCGCTCAAGGCCCTCGATAGAAGCTATGCAATAGCTTAAAAAAAAGGCGTCACATCATTGCTTATGCAAACAGAAATCGAGTACGAGCGATTCAACCTAACTCGTATGCTAGATTCGAGTCACATGGAATCGCTAAACAGAATCGAGTCATCAAGTACAAATTCGATTCTTCCTGACTCGAGTGCCGGAATCAAGCCCGGTGTACTCGAATCAAAATAAATTGGTATTCGAATAAGCGAGTCTAAAGCAGGAATCGAGTCTGACTCGAGTCAAGCCCTACTCGGCACATCGCTACCTGAAATACTGTATTGTATTATTTTAGTGTATTTAATGTAACATTATTAATTGGTTTTACTATCGTTTAAGCATTATAAAAAAGAATTTAAATGAAAGTATCCTTTCAGATTTTATTTAATGTATTGGAATAAAGATTCTAAAACAAATATGTAGAATTAAGTAATGTTTTTAAGTGCACAGCTGACATCCGAAGTCTTCAAAGAAATTCAGGAAAACAGGTTAGTGATTTAAAAACATTAATTTTGTCATCTTTAGTATTGACAAAATTGACTAATAAATAGTGAAAATAAATCTTTCGAAATGTTCCTTATGTGATAAATAACCGCATATAACCAAGTAAGATTTGCGATTTAGTACCTTATCCATTTCCTCAAGATCTTTATAAAATCTGAAAATGCTTTACCAATCTTAAAACAAACATATTTTGTAAAAGTAAGTATTTCCTTACTAGTATATAAATGTGCTTTAATAATTGTGATAAAATGTGTGTTTGGTTTCCAAATTCAATAATAAATTCAGTGACAGAAAGTTAAAGTCATTTAGTAAAATTTATACAGAAGGGTAGTTATAAAAGAACAAACAAAAGTAAATGTTTTCTTCCGAGATGATCATAAGACAACTTTTATTTATGATAAACTTGTCTGACTACCAATAACCTCCTTGCTTTTAGTTAACATTATTTTTCTTACATTAGTAAAGATTTAAACGAATAATCTGTTAAATCAAATATTTGAATTGTATCAATTTAGACCTGGAACATCTGACTTGCCCCTTACACATGCCTACATTACCTTAATTATTAAAGACCATATATATGACAGGCAACAGGTCTCGAGCCGGTCTGCCAAAGGAGTACTTAAATATGACTGTTTTGTTTTTGTGTAAAATTGGTAAAATGTGTATAAAAATGGGTTTGGAATGTATATGTCATTTTTATCATGTTTACAAATATTCCTTTTAGATCTTCCTTGGAAAACTCAATAAAGATCTATCTGGAGCAATGTCCTATTTGGTCTGGATACTAAATAAGTAATTTATTTACATCTGCAGTTACTAACAATGTAAGATGTTTCTATTTTGAATTTATAGTTTCAATAGAATGACCATTCATTATTATGAATGACAGTGACATCAGAAATTGAAAGCAAAACATGTTTGAGATCACATTGTGCCCTTATCTATCATTAGGAAATCTATTCTATTACAAATTAATGCAGTGTGCTGATTGATAATTTTATCTTAGCATGTGTGTACATAGTTCTAGGTAATTTTATCATTAAAAAGTATACATATAAGATAAGTCTCCTCAGGTAATAACCATTTGTTATAATGTCATTAGTTTTATTATAGCCAGTGTGACAGGTGAGAAATATTTAGCAAATTGGTTAGAAAAGGTTTGTTTGTAAAACATTTATATTTTTAGAATATAAATAACTTGTTTATGTTTTAACATGTTTTAGTCATACAGGAATGTACAACTTAAATTTTCTCTACACCAGGTTTTTGTAAAGCTGATAAAAATATAGTTCAAGTTAGCAGTGGTTGTAAATTACATTTTGTTTTTGAAACGTTGATCAAAGAAGAATTTGCATTAAAAACAGCATTTGAGCATAAAATATACAGTAATTTTGATAGCTCTGATAACTGATAACATTATATTCATCTCAACTTACTCAATTGTATAATCAAGCTCCCTGATCATGCTTTTCTTTTCAAAACTGAGTATATACCTAATTGACAAGAGATTTGTCATAGGATCAGTTTTAGACACATATTTAAATTGTAATAATATTTTTAGGTTACCAGGAAAAATCCTTTAATCATATGAAAAGTAACTTTAGAATTAATTTAAGTTCACAACAAGTTATTATAGAAGAATTCCCTGTCCTAAGGCAAGAGTTTACTAGTATTACTTCTACTACAGTTATTACTTGAACAATGCAAAACCTAAGTCCCTCCCTACATGCATGTCTAGGAGCCTTACTCACCTGCGTTAAAAAGCATTACAACAGAACTGGTTTAGAATTGAGATTTTTTATATCTATTAACTATTTTAACTGTCCACATTGTCATGAATTATTGAGTCATTTCAGTGATATTCTGTTTTGTTATATTATACTTTTATGTATCTGTTGTATAAGTAGTTAGTTATGGTTATTGTTTATTTAAAATATAATTATATAATATTGTGTGGGTTTTGTTTTGGCTTGTTATTATTATCTCTGCACCACTTGCGATTAGATTAGATTTGAAAAATGTCAAAAACAGTCCTACTTTTTATGCTATCTTGTGCTAGAAGTCAAAACAAATAAATAGATTAGCCTTTGATTAAAGTCTGTGTATGGTACTACAAACATTTACTCTTTGTTCACATTACTGTGTTAACATTAAGCCAAGATTGACGCACAGCTCCATACTGCAATTAAGCTTATTAGCAAGTTAATTCATATGTAAATATTAACAACCTGCAGAGACCAGTATAACCATGGAAAAATTATGGAATATCATCACTTTCAGATGTGCCTGTTGTATTTAAGTTTATAGATTTTCTTGTGGTAGACAATGAAAATAATGGATATCTTTGTTTCAGGGTCAAACAAACAAGCAGGCTATGACTTAGGTCATGCAATAAAGATGGAAGTAGTAAATTTAGGAGAAGGTCGTTATGAACAAAATGATAATGTACCGGGGAGCAGCGTCTACAGTGACGAGTCAAGCAGCGTTTTTGAGAGCAACGATAGTGATCTCTATAGCGAAGACTTGGACAAAACATCGGAAGAAGATGACTTGAAGGAAGACCTACAAAAAACGATACTGGAATGTTACAGATCTGATTCCAACTTCTCGTCACATACGAGCGACACCACAAATGACGAGGAATTCCAGGCGACTGCCTTAGTCCAGTTTATGGATATATTGAATGATTTAGATGAAGTTTTAGATAAGTCTTTATTGGCATGTCTAGATGATGGTACTAAAAATTTTGACAGTGATGAAGAAGATCTCATTTGTAAAATAAAGGAGTGTATTGGTGAAAACCATGAGGATCCTGGATGTTCTGAAGCCCAAAGTTCATTAGATGACAATACTCAAGTAATTACATGTTTTAGTTCACAACCATTACTTTCACCTGTCGAAGAAATAGACATTACACAGAATATATCTGAAAGAAGCAATCTCACGAGTCTCGGCCGCTCTAAAAGTTTTTCGGATGTCTTAGATAGTGATCGAGAAGTTTTGGTTCCGTCTTTAGAGAGAGCAAATACGACAAACGACAACCTTCGAAATTCAATGAGAAGATTAGATCCTATAATACTACCAGCGATAAATACAGAATCGTTTTGCGAGCCTCTAACATTACCAGTTATACTATTCTTAGAACACAATATTAACATGAGACCAACAAGTGCACCAATACAGTTACAAGTGACAGCCGCGAACCTTAGTAGCGATAGCGCTTCAGGACCACTTATTGTCGGACGTCGAGCTTTGCTTATGAATCGGACATTATCTCTCCCGTCTCCTGGGGAGAGTGACGTCACTGCCGGGGATTGGACGGGTCGTAATACAGCGAGGAGCACTGCTAGGAGTACTAGTGCATCTAGTTCTTCCACTGAATCTCTGAATGTTGCTCCTACCTCTCAAAACATTACAAGTGCCACGGATGAGAGGTACTGATACATTTTACCTACGTTTGCGCATCTTTTTACCACGCATTTTACTTACGCGACAAGTTTAGCAATATTCGAAATTTTGTTAGCATATTACTCAAGTCACTCTTAAAAAAGAGGTCATTGAATAAGAATGTAATTTCTCTCTCTCCCTCTCTGAAAGAACAATCTCATGAGCTAGACTCATTTTAGTAATTGTTTTCAGAATTGAAGAGACTGAAGAACCTCCTTTTGGAGTTTGGCCACATCGTATGAGTGCCATGTTGGCGTGCCTCAGCTGTACCGTGGGAATATTTAATATATCTAGATTTGCCATATTCAGTGTTCATTTTGGAGGTATGCCTATATTGTCTAATAAGCGCTTAAACTGTTTAACGAATCAAAATCTGTTTATTGTGTTTTTTTTTGTTTCAGCAAGCTTCATAATACAGTTTTTTATACTGTCATTGTTAATCGGAATACCATTGTTTACTTTACATATGTGCTTAGGTCAAGTATTGGAATCTGGTCCAGTAGACATGTGGCGTATATCGCCGATATTCCAAGGCGTTGGCGTGTCTTTACTTATAACGCAAGCTGTTATTGGAATGTACAGTATAATAGGCCTGTCTTGGATATTTGTTTACTTCCGAGACTCTTTTATAACATCAGACGACAAATACAAATGGGCCTTACCACACGAATTCAATTTGGAAGGTGAGCGATATTTATTAAGGTAATTCAGTGAATCAATGAAGTGTTTTATCAACGAATTTTGTAATATAGGAAACGTCACTGAAGGTCGTCAATTCAAACGATAATTACTTCTGCTTTGACTGTACAATAAGGAACTCTGAGTGTTGTTATTGAAACAGTTTTTTTGCAGATGCCGTAATGAAGAACGTTACTTATAAGATTCAGGATACTTTGCCCCAATATTTTCACGGTGAAATTTTACAAAAGAACTTGGTGTCCAATAGCTCGTATTTTGGCACAATAAAGTTTCAAGTAGCTTTCAATTTAGCCGTGGTATGGATGATTGTGTTTGTATCGCTGAGCAAAGGATTGAGGTCTTACGGCAAGGTAATAAACATTAGTGGCGGTCATTTAAATATAAATTGAATTTACCACGAAATGGTAACGTGTATTATTATGATTGCAGGCTGTATATATGCTGATATTTCTGCCTATCTGCGGAACACTCGTGCTGTGTATTAAATTACTTACGTTGATACCATACGATTCTGTCATAAATATATTCTCGGAGACTGAATGGAGTGAATTCTTTATTAATAGTAATGTATGTATTTTTTCAGCCAAATGTTTTTTTTTGGTTTTGCTTATTTTAATTGCAACTGATTTGCATTCTATACCAAGTTGACATGAGTAACACAAAATAGCTTCTAAAACCGTTGTCGTGACACACTTGCACCAACAATCAGCCAGTGGTAGCAATTCACCTGATGCAAGAAAACACTTTACACAATTCTATTATGATAAATCAGTAATTTTGCACTTGGTTAACGGGCCATTTCAATAAGATTACTAAAAATGTTTTACACAACAATATATAATTCATAGCACAGAGCCTAAACCTGAAGAAGGGTAAAGTGAAGGACTTGTCACTGAGGAGCTCAGAATTGCACATCACAGTAAGGATGTCTTACGTTTCAATTTTCGGTACTTAGCTTGCTATTTCTCTTACTATTCAATTTCAGAGTTGGGCTGCAGCTGCCCAGGAAACCTTTCTTACTTGGGGCCTTCTAGGAGCTTGTATAATGCAGCTAACATCACATAAAAACTCAAAAAATAAGACTAGTGTAATACTTCAAAAGGAGAGCGCGTGTATTGTGGCATTTACATTCGCTGTGTTGTTACTGGGTTCGTTTCTAGCAAACACTTGCGTGCAAATATTGAAAAATTACGGCTACGCTTACATACCGGGTAGTTTTGGTAAGTTTAAACTGTACCTACTTTCATTTTGTACACTATCATTTCTAAAAACGCAAAAATGACACTTGCCTTAAAGCATGGGATTATGTGTGTTTTTGTATTAAATTAATTGAAAGTCGAATCGAAAATTGAAACATCACCTTAAGTGAAGTGAAAAGTACTTCTATTTAAATGAAGGTTCACTGTCAGTTTTACAATACTAACTCAGGGACTACCTACATCGTGTACACGACATAATAATTATTAACAATATACCAGGTTTTTTCTATGTTATGTATTTATTTTGAGCATTACAATGAGCATGAATATGTATTAGTGATGATACAAAAACACCTTTAAATTCTTATATTACTGACGATTAGTCAATCCATTTGAAATAGGGACGAAGTGAGCATTATAAAAGTAGCTGTAAATAATGGTGTGATATACCTATATACACCTAAAATCTGCACTCGTGTAATTTCACCTTACACATACAACAATTTAAAGATGGCAACAGACCATGGATATACGATTTATAAGACTATGTCAACGTTTTGCTTGCTTAGTATTGACAAAAAAAAAAAACTAAAACATCAAATTTAATCAATGAAAATTTCACAACTTTAAACGTTCCATGTCATCAATAGAACTTATCAACATGCAAATAATAATTTGTGGTTTAAATGTTACCGAGAATAATGATTAAATCATAACCCAAAAAAAAAAAATACTATGATTAAATCACATTTAAAAAGATCTAAGTTTACTTTAGTATTTTATGTTATTAAACATGATCGTCAGGGAATTCTCATTTACTACGTCAAAGATCAACAGTTTCTTATAATTGGTCTCGTAATCGGCTCGGCTAGGCATATTTTATGTGAGTAATTAATGGATAATGTAATTAATAGCTTTCATTAAATATCTGATTCATTATACTTTGACTGCCTCGGTGGTGCAGTGGTAGCGTATGCGACTGCTGTGGTGAGGTCTTGGGTTCGATTCTCGGGTCGGACCAAAACGTTTGTATGATCTGCAAATATTTGTTTCGGAGTTTGGGTGTTTTCTATGTATAATATGTATGTTTTTACAGCAAAAAAGTAAATAATTATTCTATCAGTCAATCTAGCTTTCGTAGAACAAGTTCTGCTTAGTTTGAAACTAGATGGCGTTGGGTTAGGCGTCCAAAAATATTATTATTATTAGTTGAGCCATTGCTTTACTATCAATTATAATTATGAATGTGTCGTAAAAATATTGTACCTCGGGGAAAGCAACATATTTAATAACTGTAAATATATTTAATAACCGGTATATTGCTATAAAACCTTTAACTGAATTGAAGTTAGTTTACGTGGGAGAGCCATGCTTCGTCACAAACGGGCCGGCTCGACCGGAGTGATACCACGGCCTCACAGAAAACAGTTCTTTGTGAAAACAGTGATTGAGGCCACCGTGGGCAACTTCCCCTGGATTCAGGGTTGAGGGGGAGGGGGGGGGGGGGGTCACAGGGTCCTCACTTATGACTTTTTAAATTGAAATTGGAAATTGTTTCCAAACATTTTTGATATCCTGAAAATAGCTCTTTCAAACAGCTATAATGTGTTTTCGTGTTCTAATATCCACTCTCTTATATTTACAGAGACCGTCAAATCAACACAATTCCTATGGCCATTGTCGGAGCCAATGCCGAGCAATATAGTATCTACTCCAGTTCGTTATATGGGTCACTATGGCAGCTTAGTAGGGGTGACCACTTGGAAGAATGGTAACACTGCACGTGCACTTAGCGGGTGGCAACCTCTGCAGCTGGCAACACAGATTGTACCTGCTACTCTTGCGGTGCTGCCTGCTAATATGGTAAGTTTAAAGTACCTTCGTTAGTTAAGTTTATCAAAGCTAAGTTTCCTAGCAAACCCTGCCACAGTTTTTCTCTAGAAATTACAGCATAAAGTTTTTAGTGGTTGGACTTATGATATAGTAGCCACTATAAGTCTACGAAGTATATAATTTTATGAATCTTAATAAACCCATTTAATCCCAGATTTAAATAGGCCCAAGGCCAACTTAGTGTAACGCATAAAAAAGTAGACACGATTATAAATAAAATATGCTTAAAAGAACTAAAAAGTGGAATTTAATTATCGAGGAAACGTAAAAAACCTATGAATGTCGGTTTTATTTGTAGTAGAAGTCATTATATCGTAATCGTAATTTCTTATATTGTTTTTACCTTTTTATCCATTTAATTATTTGTCCATAAGTTTTTTTTTTAAATTAATTTATACAGCTATTGTTATTACCTTGGCCCAAACAATATAGTTGGTAACATTAGTTTTTGAAGTTTTACTTATTAATATGTATCATTAGGCTATCATAGGCTTAGATGATGTTGATAGTGATGCTAATGATTAAACGAGCATAGTTTTTGATTCATGACATGATAACATAAAGTGTCATAGATAGATAGTAATATAAGAGCACCATCAAATCCTGTTAACAATAAAGAAGACACTAAATTGTCGTTTTATTGTTCCAGTTATCGCCAGCTTGGGCTGTTATATTTTACTTCATACTGATAATGTTTGGCATTGCACAACAACTGGCTATATGGCACTGCGTTATAACCGGTATTATGGCTATCAATGCGGATGCGCTTAAAATTTGGGAGACAACCATAACCTTTTTCAGTTGCGTCTTTGGACTGGCCATGGGCTTGCTCCTTAGTACTGATGTAAGTAAACACATTATAATCTAGGCTTGTAAAGAGATGTCGTTGATGTTGTCGAGATGTGTCCTGCCCCACAGTCTCTGCGTTTTTATTTCCATGAGTCGGAGAGTTAAAACCTTTTTTCAATGAATTATAATTATTTATTACTCTATTACTATAAATATAAGCTTTACAAAAATAATATAGAATTACAATACAACGCTAAAATGCAAGCTGATAAAGTTTTGATATTAAATATCAATTCTTTATCGATAAGTGTAGGTATATATTGAAGTAAATATGTTAAAAACATGTTTCTTTTTGTGAGTGATGTGTTAATATTAGTGTTCTATTGACAGGATTAAGATATCATGTGTAAACAAGTGATGTAGCTATGATATTTGTTTAGTTATCTTCTAATCCAAGTTTTATCTGTTTAACCCTAACTGTATTCATACCAAGTTAAACAAAAAATTAAAAGCATCATTAGGATGACTGAGAACCTGTTATTTTTTAAATTTTCAGGCTGGTATTCGCATTGTCCACTTCATAGATTACGTGTGGGTGGGGTCTTGGTGGCATTGCGTGATTCAAGTGGTGATGACTTGCGGTGTATTCGTAGTGCGAGGACGTCCGTACTCGCCAGACGTGGTCGTAGGAGCGCTATACTCTTCGGGAACTCGACTTTCTGCTACGCTGGCTGCACTGCTTAGCTTTACCTGGACAGTTATACTGCCTGTTTTATTGTGCGTAAGTATGCATCTTAGAGAAGGTTGTAAATAATTCCTTTAAAGTTAGCCAACTGTCCGAAAAACATGATACTTACTGATTTTATTGCTTAGCTTTTCAAAGCTCATTCAATTACTATTAATTATATAATTATAATTGAGTAAATGTATATTAATTGTATATACCTAGTAGTCATATTAGCGATGGCGTCCTTGATCTGAAGCTTATTAATTGAGGCATAAGTTGGTTTGCTCCTTATATCAAAAAATATTAAAATATATAGGCATTTTGTTTTAGTCATTGTTGGTCTTTACTTGTTTTATAGAAATTCTTTAAGTAACATTTAAATATTATATCATTATACATTGCTGCTTGCTATAATATGATTCCTTGCATTTCAGGCAATATGTGTGATGGATTTCCGAGTTGGGCAGCAGCGTCAACTTTATACCTGGCGAAAACAAATCGGGTAAGAAATATTTAATTATGGTATAGGGTCCAAACGAGTAGATCACCTAATGGTTAGTGACTCCCGCCGCCCATGGAAATGGTCACTGGCCCTTTGGGCAATTTTACGTGTGGAAACTCCATCGGGCTTCGCCCCACCAGGGTTTGCGACGAGGTGGTGTGTCGGAATCGGAACGAGTAAAACCACACGGTGTGCCACTCTGCGCCTGTAATAGGAGGGATCCGGGAAATGTTGTTATTAAAACATCCGGACCCCTCCTAGCGCCTGTCCGCAACGGCGCGGGCACCTTCGAGTTTATTCTCTATTTAGGGCACGCGGGGACGTCGCCTCCTCCCGGATGGACGTTTTGGTGGATGGAGGGCAAAACCCGTGCCGTCTACCCGAGGCCACACTGAGGGCGGCATGAGGCGGTGATAAGCGCGCCTCCTCCGCCCGGTTCGCCGGCGATGAATTGGGTCCGAATGGAGGTTGTCCTCCCGGGCTCCGCCTTCTTTCGCCTTCTTTTGCGAGATAACGTCTTCGCAGAAGGATGCGACCGCGGTAAAACATCTGCCACTACCGGCCATGGACCGTATGTCTGCCGGTAGCGAGAGGTCCCCTCTTAGAGCCTAGTGCAAGCTTCATCAACATCATCAACAGCCATTAATGGTCCACTGCTGGACATAGGCCTCTCCTTAGAAAGGAGGTTTTGGCCTACTATGCAAGCTTATTTCACATCAACTCCCTCTCGACAGCGAGCGCGTTCGGTTGGTGAAGATTTCAGTGCGGACCAATTGCAGCGCGCCGAACGCGGTCACCGTGACGATCTTGCAGATGTGAAACTCACTTTGATTACCTCCCTCACTTGGTAAACTGTAACATCAAATTTCCCACGATCACGCTACAAGTATAAATAACACCTACCTAACTTTATATAAATAAAGTTATGCCAACTTTTACCGAATGTCTCTAATGGTTTTCTATTAATTTTGGAACCTACTTCTTTTTTTTAGACTTGTCGAATAACCAAACTGCAACATGCTAAATAAGTCACTGGGTGTTGAAAATCTAAATTAACTAAAAATAAATCGCTTTTAATAATAGTATTAGAAGCGATTTATTTTTAGTTAATTTTTATTATGTATATACATATTGACTATACATGGCCTTTCTCCCTATTCCTTTTCTTTATAACAGTTATTGGCCGGTGTGGAGCCGCCAGGTGGCGGTGCTGATGCAGCAGGGCTCGCTGCTCGTAGTGCCCGTGGCAGCCTTCATACAGACTTGGCGATACATGAGTAAAGGACCGCCTGATATATTAGACGTAAGATATCTTAACGTTTTATTACGTTCTTACGTTTACTTACATAGTCTGTAGTCTACGGTTACTTCTATAGTCGAACTTCAGTTTTTTAACAAATTCTTATTCGTTCATTGCTGCAAGGATTATGGAACAAACGATTGTATTGAAGAACTGGTAAGCTTGTGCATTTTATTATTCGGACACTTAGCCTTTTATACAAGGAGATACCATAGAAATCAGTATAAGTAAGAATTGCCACGTTAGTGGGGCATGCCCGTCTAAGTTTAAGGAAAACGCTCTCAACGGGAACTGACAGGAACTTTAATGGTTAAAAACGGATTTTAGGACTTGCACAATAATTACGCGTTGAAATATAAGTAAAAACTAAGAGTACCTAAGTCAAATCACTTCATTTCATCTCTTTATCATATCTTTGTTATTAATATTGACAAAAATAACAAAAGATTATATAATTTAAAAGAGAAAACCCTTTTGATATATTCTATTGACAGTTACACATTGCATACCATATTTGACCACTAACTAAATAGCAATTGAATGAAAAAATAGATATAGAAATGACTTCGACTTGACTTGACTTGACTCATGAAAAAATCGTACTAATGTGCCCTACTCTGATATAATTTGTTTTGTTCCAATGTGTCCCATAATAATTGTCACACAATAGGAAAAACACGACGTAATCTCCTTGTTTACTCGTTACCTGTTAATTTTGCAGTAGGCTACACTCATTAGATCACTTGACGTGTTGATATTATATTTAACACACTGATAACAGCTTTGTTGAAGAGCTGATCAGACACGTAGGTCAGTTGTAACCGTAAATTGTCATACATGACTACCTAATACATGAACTAACTTATGTTGTTTTGTTTATATAGTGTTAAAATACTTATATGGCAAAATGATCTGATATATTTGATAGTCGATGTTTTTGTTAGCTTTTAATGTGCTTTTTATTGTTATAATAATTGTGAATATGAAATATTAACCGTCGACGATCGGTGTCTCTCAACAACAACAAAATTGTAATTGGTCTTACATATGTAACGCTTAAAATGGTATATAATCATATATATTATATATGTTATGGTAATAACTAACTAACCTATTATTAATCGCTTGGTATGTGTGTGTACCTATTTAAGTGTATGCGTATTAGACTGCACGGATGGCGTAGTGGTTTAAGCGGTCGCCACGCCGCTTACTACTGCTCTGAGTGTTGTGGGTTCGATCCCCGCATGGGACGACACTTTGTGTGATCCACAAATAGTTGTTCTGAGTTTGAGTGATCTATGTGTCCGTTTCATGTATGTTCGTAAAGTCCCCCGCGACACAGGATGTATTCCTAAAGCGGGAAGTGTGCCTTTAAAAAAAAAAACTTTCAGTTTGGGTCGAATGTTGTCAATCTTTTTCGTTTAAAAAACAAATAAGGTTTTTACATTCGTGAAAGTGAATCACAAAGTTATAATAGAAGTAGGGCGTAATGGGTAATAAGTTCTACCGGCGGTAGCGAGTACACGTTGACGATGCGGGAAACATTTGGCAGCGCATCCAAAACTTGTACCGGCCGACCCTGGGCCCGGCGCCGGCGGGAGGCGGCCAGGCCCACGCGGCGCCGGCGGCGCTAGAGGCGAGCGCGCCGCCCGACCCGCCGCCCAAGTACACGCCGCCGCCCTCCTACTCCACGGCCACCGGCGCCAGGCTGCTCAACACCATACGCCGCAGCTTCCGCACGCTCAGACGGTAAGGCTCTCTCAAAAATAAAAACTCCCTTCGTTAAATGCATTACTAACGTACGGTTGCACTCGCGAATGTCCCCCCCATCGAGTACGGCGACCCTTCGCTCGTTCCTCGACGGTCATCGTCGTTCACTTTCCCGCTACCATGAAAACAAAACGGTATTCAAAGAACTGACCTATTATCACTCCTGCCTACATTGAAAGGATCTATGTGGCGAGAGCAATTCTCGAAGTGATTAGGGATTGTGCATCGATGTGAAGTATTGTAATAATATAAATGCGAAACTGAGTTCATTGATTACTTTTTGCTCATTAAGGACTTATTTCCAGAAGCAAAGAAAAGTACCAAATTGCACTTGATATTTATTGTAGAATAATATCTAGTACCAGATGGAGAACGAAATATACACGGAAAACCTTCTGCAGAACTAAGAAAAATCCGTGTAAAAATATTTATTCAACTTAAGTTTAGTCTAAATTTCCCTTCCGTCCCTTATTCTTTTTCGAGCTCACTTTTACACAATATGTCACTTGATGCTTACCTATTTACAGACTTAATATGAAAAGCCTCCATAAATTGGCTAGGCATTGTAATTGTAGTTAGAGTGCAGTAGAACAAATAGAAAAGAAAGAGAACAGACCAAATGAGTCCAATGCTTTCATAGATAAATTTTACCTATTATTTTAAAAAAATATTAAAATATTATAGAATTACCACAACGCGTACGGAACAATCGCCAGCCGAGGATACAACACAGTTGCCGATCACAGTTAGCGAGACAGTCGAACGTGACGCTTTGGTGTCCCTCGAATCACAACCGCCTGAATATAGCGGCGTATTTGAGGCACCTTCAATAACTATTACCGACGAAATCGATTCAAGAATAACTTCGAGGCCTCGATCGTCTACTTCGCGCAATTCACTATCACTCACCAGGGATTATCTTCGAAGATCATTCGTTAGAAAGAGCGACTCCGCGAAAAGCATTCGATCCAGCTTACGCAGGAGTTTTAAGTATGGTGGTGCTCTGACTAGCAGTCACGAACACCTGGTCCGAGGAGCGGAGCCGATGTCCAGTACTGTCGCCATGTCGGCTGTCAGCACTGCGCACGACCATGACTCGACACACAGCCGGGCCTCCGTCATATAATTATTTTTAGCGAATTATCGTTAATTATGTTTTCTGAGCCCTATTGGCTGCATCTACATCACATAATAGTTTACGAAAACTGTTGTATTAATCACAATTACTTATTTATTATGAGCTAAGTGTCAATTGAAACTGATAGCTTATACACATCTGAGGAAAGGCCTTATGCATGTCGTATATTAAAGACATCGGCACACAACTTAAAAGAACAAAAATTATTCTTCAACTAAAGTTCTGCTTTTATGCTGATCAATTTCAATGAGCCATTATTTATTACCTTTATTTTGTCAACAACAACAACATCTAAAACACAAGATAACGCAATAGTAAACTACTAATTAGCTAAAAACAAGTAGTGTTTAGAATTAAATTAATAATAATACAAAGTACCTATTAATAGTCTCGTAACCAGTACATTGGTAAATGTATCATTAATAATTTGTTTTTTATTTGGTCGTGGTTATTATTGTATGCGACCCTTTGTTATCAAATTGTGTATTTTTTTATCATATACATGTTTATTGAGCCTTTTAACCCATCAATTGTTGACGATCCGGAGCAACAAGCGGGATCGCAATTTCGCATCGTATCCGCTAGATAATCCGGTTGTAGTTTTATTTAGTAATATTTACATTGTTAGTACTTAATTATTAATAGCATAATGAGTAATTATAAAGAAGAGGAATCTCAGTTAATCCACTATTTTTTTAATGTTAGAAATCCTCTAATTTGTGTCAGCACAATAAGCGAGCCATTTACCTAGTATGTAAATGCTAGTTTAGGAATATTGAATTAACATTGATAATAATCTCAAGAGCTTAGGAAAAAAGGTGTTGAGCATTTCGTAAATGTGGCAACAATTGTTAGCGGTTATTTTTAAAAAGACGTTATGTGTAATATTCAGACTAGAAATGTGTTCCCGTTAAATTTTTATGAACGTAAAATATATGTCTAAGTTATGGGATGATGTTGGCAATGTGTGTTTAGTGTTGTATTCCTTAGTGTGATAAGCGGCGTCTAGAATACATCATGTGAAAAACCCCATTTTTATTATAAATGTCTATTTTAAACTCGAATATCGATAGAGGTTGCAATTTTTATATTCCATTTTATGGAATTAGGTAAATCGTTACGTAAAAATAACATATATTCGTGTTATCACTAATTACATAGTGCAACACATCAGAAATACATCCAATCTTACTGAAAATTAAAAATATAAAAGGTCTTATTTGTTCTGTTTGATGATCATTAAAGTAATATTTAGCCGATATACTCAGAAGATTCTGGTAGGTAATTATTATTTAAAAACATTTAGCCCTTCTGTTGTAAAATTTAAACTGCTGTTTATTGTTAATTAATAATAAAAAGTTACATCAAATTTTGATAATTTAAAATATTGTATTTTTGTGGTTAATGTTATTTTCGATGTGTTGTACAGTACTTGCCGAATTCAGTATCCATATTAGGGTAGTTGGCCCAAATACACCCAGACATTTTTGTATACTTATTAAAGAAATTGATAGGTTGGTGTTGCGACTTAATACGAAATGTCATACAAAACCAAATTTCTAAAATAATGCATATAGTTACATAAACTACTACTCCAATAAATGCTCTCATTCTGTATTTATTTAAATGTTTAAACCGTGGTCTAACTAGCTTACTCTGCTGTCTCTACTCCTTGCTAGCTTAGGTTCAATCATTTTAAGGTTTCAATTTGTTACTTGCCAAAATCTTATTAAAAATCTATGTGCAATTAAAAGTTTGACAGTGAAAGCCATTATCTAATACAACAAACATTTTTATTGTGTCAACTACCTTAAATAAATGGTGTCAAGAACAATACGTTTATAAGTGAATAGTGTTTGATATGTCAAGTACAATGAATTTAGTGAATTAAGCGAACCAATTGTTCGATAGGTTATAGGTGTTTTAACAGCATCTTAGTTCCTTATGTGCATTTATGTAAACCTGCTACCCATTATTATAGGTACTTTTCGCTAGTTTTTCTTGTTCTAAAGATTTTGGTTAGGTTTATCGGAACCAATTGTTTGACTCCCATATTATGGGACGTAATTGCTACGAATCGAATTTTTTGTGCACTAAAAAGTAAAATACGGTATATCACATTAAGTATGTACAAAATTATGTTTTCTCTACACTAGTGTTTAAGTATCAAAATTATTTTTATAATATCATTTTATGTTTATAGGCTTAGCTTTAATAATGTTAACTTCACGTCATTCCACATGTTTAAATCGTTATGTTACTAATTATCAATTTTATTTTAACCATTTTAGTATTAAATTTATCAAGTACCAAACTCGGTTTCTGAGACACCTAAAATGATAATGACAATTCTAAGAAAATGTGCAATCTGAATAGTTAGTACAATCTGCTATTGTACTAACTGTTCAGATACAGTACATGCATACATACATTAAAAACTGACAAACACTCAAATGTCATAAGAACCTACGTGTGACTGACAAGAATTCATTCGACTGCCAAGAATTGTGTATGTCATCAGTACTCATCTCATGCTTTTAGTTCATCATATTTAAAATTACAATCTTATGAACATTTCTTTTTTTCTCAGTGTACCTACCAGATACCAAATTAGAATCTCATAGATGATTTTGTATTCACTATTAAGATAATAATAACTCCGTCTAGGTTGTGAGCAGAGGCTTAATAAATAGGTAAATAATTTGGTTCTAATACTTAGTAATAGTGAGTAGCGGGTCAATGCATTTTTAAGTTCTCAAAATTTCTATTTTTAGTTCTAGTCACACATGCTTCCACCTTTTAACAATTTTAACTTTTTGGTAAAATAAATCATCACAAACGTATTATTTATGATCTATGATTATTGCACGTTTTTATTGCACGTCTGTATTATTTTTACTTATTCTTTTCATTCAGCGCGTTTTCTTATTCAAAATTGTTGCAATGTTTATATGTATATTAGCTAATTAAACATTTTTACACTCCCATGAATTTTTTTGTTTTATTATAACTCCCTTTTTTCAACTTTAATTATGAAGATTGAGATTTATGTACTATTAACACTAATATTTTATTAGTAGTATTTTTCTATATTGCATTGTTCAACTTAGTTATCTATTTTCTATCTTAGAATTTTAAATGACTTCTGTAGATAGATAAATAAAAAAGATATTTATTGAAAATGTGGTCTCTCGAAAAATTCTTAAGTGATCGTCGATGTACATCACGACATGAAGCAATCTAATCGTACAATTTGCGATAAAAGTAAGGCCATGAACTCACCGATTGATCTTTTTATACTTTGTACTGATTATTGCACACCGAGACCTTGCTTTTTTTTGGACAGCTTATTGTCAATTATGAAGCAGTTTTTAGAAATGTACGTGTTTTAGATTACACTTACACTGATGTGAATTGAGAGACGCTACGATTTTTAACGAGCCATCTCAAAAAAAAAAGATTGAGATGGCTCGTTAATAATCGCACCGTCTATCAATTCACATCCGTGAGCTCTTAGCTTAAGTAGTAGCTGTGTAAACTACAAATGCGCTATATATAAATTGAATGTCCTTCATATTACATTAAATTGTTATTCGTTGCTAGTTGAGCTGGGCTCCGCGCGTCACATTGTGATGTTAATTGGTAGACAAATTTTGAGTTCCTAGCTGTCATTGTTTCTTCTTTGTTAAAAAAATAATACGTGAAGGGTTTTTTAACTTGATTTAGAAGTAAGTAAATTAATTAATCATTAATTTGAATTAACTTTTTATTCTGTAAGTCAAAGGAAATATTTCGTGTCTTCAGTTTGTTAACACAATACTTTTCTATAAATACTTAACAATATTGGGGTCTACTTACAAGAAACAACCGGGCTAGTGCAAAACTGCGAAACTGCGAACCTGCACGTAAGTTCCGTATGCAAAGGAACTTTGAAACTTGTTTTATTTCACAGTATCAAGGGACTTTTTACAGTATGAAGGGACAGGAAGTATTTATAATATTCGATGTTCGTTTAAACTTGATAATTAGACTCAATCTTGAGAAAAGCTTCTTGACAGACGGACAGAAAAGTGATTCTATGAGGGTTCCTTCTTTCCTACAAAATCGATTATATGAAATAATATTGAAAGCTCATGTACTCCAGAACCTTTTATTTTCTATTTCCTTCTATAACAAAATTGGTTAGTGTTATATAGATACTTAACTATGACATATATTTACTAAAACTACCTACTCTGCTTACCGCTACCGACGTTAATAGCTCTTGTTGTTTTCCTTTAATTTTAGGTTATTGGCTTTCTTGGACTTAAACCTATCAACTGTTCTAAACGGCGATAATGGCGGAGTCAAAACTGCCTAAAGTTTCACTGAATGAGGTGGTAGTCGTTTCTGCAGTTCGCACCCCTCTTGGATCTTTCAGAGGAAAATTGTCATCACTTTCAGCGTCAGAGCTTGGTGCCATTGCAATCAAGGCAGCAGTTGAAAGAGCTGGCATCCCCATGGAGGCAATTAAAGAGGTAATAGGTTCTCTAATTTTTTTGTAGCTTTCTGTTGTAGGTCTTTAATGCGGATTCTATAAGTAGGTTGTGGTAGTCAAGACTATATAATTTTTCTTACTACTAACGTCCAATCTTTGGTTTCTATGTTATATAAACCTGTAACCTGCCACGCTTCGCTGCGGCACATTGAAATTATATCGATGAGAAATGAGAAATAAAATTGACGTAAAAAATAGATAAAGACCATTTTTAAAGCGTGTTTTATATCGTGTTAAAATTAGACCTCAATCGGTCCAGAACTTTTTGTGTTTTTGAAGAGTACACAAATCAACTTTACATTTACGTATATGGGCTTAGATGCTAATTACTACACTAATATCTACTAATATTTTTCCTCTTTAAGGTATATATGGGTAACACTTGCTCTGCTGGCATCGGACAATCTCCTGCCCGGCAGGCTTGCATATTTGCTGGACTCCCAGAAACTACTATTTGTACTACAGTCAACAAAGTATGCTCCTCTGGCATGAAAGCCGTTATGTGTGCTGCGCAAGGACTACAAACCGGCGCCGAAGATATAATTTTGGCGGGTGGAATGGAATCTTTGTCCAATGTGCCATTCTACTTGAAGAGAGGCGAAATTCCATATGGTGGTATGCAATTGGTTGATGGTGTACTGCGTGACGGTTTTATGGATTACTACAACAACTTTCACATGGGAGACTGTGCAGAAAATATAGCTAGGAAGTTAGATATCAGCAGAGAAGATCAGGACAATCATGCTATAACTAGCTACAAGAGAGCCGCTGCAGCGTACGCCGATGGCGTCTTTGATGTCGAATTAGTACCTGTTCTTGTACCCCAAAAAAAAAGTGAACCGATTTTAGTTACCGAAGATGAAGAGTACAAAAAAGTCGATTATGAAAAATTAATCAAGCTGCCTCCCGCTTTCCAAGATAAAAACGGTTCTGTAACAGCAGGTAATTCGTCACCTCTGGGCGATGGGGCTGCTGCTTTAGTTTTAATGACTGCCGAGGCTGCACGAAAACTAAACGTCAAACCCATTGCTCGTATTCTTGACTTTGTAGATGCTGAACGTGCCCCAATCGACTTTACTATTGCACCAGCAATTTCTATCCCTAAGCTTTTAACTAAGGCTGGTGTACAGAAAGAAGATATCGCTTTATGGGAGATCAATGAGGCATTCAGTGCTGTTGCTGTTGCTAATCAAAAACTTTTGGGTTTAGACCCTGCTAAGATTAACGTGCATGGAGGATCTGTTAGTCTTAGTAACCCGATAGGTATGACCGGTGCAAGAATTATTGTACATCTGATACATGCCCTGAAAAAGGGTCAAAAAGGAGTTGCGTCTGTTTGTAACGGCGGCGGCGGTGCATCCTCAATATTGATTGAAAAATTATAAAATGCTCCAATTTTAATGAAAGTACGGCAGTGTCTTGTATGGACCAGTGTATTGATAATGCGTAAATAACCACATGATTACCATTAATAATAAAAGCTGATTAAATGTTTAATTTTAAAACATTATCTGACTAACATTATCTTACTAACAAATAGAATTCCGTACTAAATAAAAATTAAAAGTATTTCACCATTGCCTAACGGAATCTCAGATACAAAAGTAGCTGTGGTCTTATGTATAGTTTTTTTAGGGTTTCGTACCGAAAGGGTAAAACGGGGCCGTATTACTAAAACTGCGTGTCCGTCAGTCTGTCCCCAGTATACATGCGAAGCCGGTTAATAACGAGTTTAACCAAGCGGTTAAAAATGCATTTTTTGTTATTGAAGGTTAATTTACCGCATTTTATGCTCGTTAGTGAATTTGATACAAAAAAAAATATGGAAGTTTTTATAAGACAGTATTAAAATCATTATTATTGTGATTAAAAGACTTCTGAGATAATACAGACTTGAAATAAAAAAAAATGGCAATAATATTATTAATGAATAATTAAGGTATACACAGTGATTTCGAATTTTATCAACCACCAACAGGCAGGCAGCTGTTATCAGTCATTACTTTGTTTAACCGAAATTGAAATGATACCGACCGACGCGTGCGGCGTGCGACCTTGTCATTTTTCCATACATAGACACGCGTCGGTCGTCGATAGTACGCTACCGACGGTCAGAGAACCCTGGACCTTTAACTATTGGTCGTTGGTGGGCCTCTGCCAGCTGCATGACAATATAAAGATAAACATAAAATGCGTGTAAACGTAACTTTTTGACTAAAAATAATAATATATAGTTATATTTACTGCTTTTAATAACATCGTTATTTTAAAAACAAAGTCTTAAATCCTAAAATCATAATCACCTAAAATGATACAAAAGCCAAACTTTTTATTATTCAAACATAAGTGAGCGGTTCAATTTTGTTTCAATATATATTTTAATGTTATATGATTATAACAATACAAATAAATATGCATTAATCGATATTAATCGTTGTACTTCATAGCATTCGTTGGATAATATCCATATTTTTTCCTTTTTCATTTAATCATTCATTTTACATTTAATCTACAAATACCATCTTGATAGGTTGCAGTCGGATAATTAAACGTTTATAACTGCATTTTATGGGTAGTTAACCGAAAATTTGGTTAAATAACTGAAGCTAACGGGTTTTTTACAACTACAGTTTCAGTGACTATTGTATTATTACTCGTACAAATAAAAACCCATATCACATTAGTAAGAAACTACTTAACAATAAACTAAAAAAACTACATTTAAAAAAACCGACTTCAAAAACTAAAAAGTATAAAATAACTTAATAAAGATTAAATTTAATACACCTCTTATGCAAACCTTTAATATTAATAAAATACTATTGTTTGTATGTGCACCGAATTGAAACCTATCAATAGATAGGTTTCAATTCGGTGCCAAGCCAAATGTAATAGAAGGTATGATCTACACTCGTCGCGCGTGACTTTGAGCAGGATAGCTTCGTCTAGAACAAAACAACCCAAGCGGGCAGACGTCGTTGACGGTCGTCTTGAAATATAGTAAAATTTTAATGCGTTGTTACCTAATTGATAGATTTGTATAATTTATCTCTTGCACGAAGCTCTTTACAAGTTGTTTTCATAATTGTACTTATTCATTATTACTTAACGTGTTGTGTGCTCGTCGCACAATACGCAAACGGTCCTTTTCAGGGCCACAAATATATTCATATATACGAATAATATAGGTTTAATATAGCTATAGTTACTCATCCAGGTATTAATATTATATGTATTTTATAATAAAGTTTTCATCTGTTTCACATTAATTCACATTGTTCTTTAGGTTTATTTACGTAGGTTAATCTTTAGTGTAGAAATTTCATAACAGTAAGTAAGTTGTTTATAATATTAAGTTTATTTTGTTTAGGGCTTGGCACCAACTTCAAACCTATTAATAGGTAGCACATACAAACAATAGTATTTTATTAATATTAAAGGTTTGCATAAGAGGTGTATTAAATTTAATCTTTATTAAGTTATTTTATACTGTTTAGTTTTGAAGTCGGTTTTTTTTTATTAATTTTTTTATTTTTTACTTTTTAGTGTCTGGAATAGGTTGTTCTGTTAACTACAGTAGGATTTTTCTAGATTACATCAGGTAAACTATAACATTTCGTTGCTTTTTATTGTCATATATCTAATAGTAATTTGTTTAGTTTTCAAATAGTAAGTAACTATGGGTACGCCGACGAAAGGTGCAGCGCGACTTAAACAATATAGATCCCAAGAAACGGGAACCGAAAAAAGGAATCGACGCCGAAAAAATGCTGTTCGAAACTCTATTTCACGTTCTTGTGAGACAGAGATAGATCGTGAAGAACGTTTGTTAGCTATGAAAAATTACATATATAAAATTACGTTCACGTCAAGAAACTCTTGAACAGTATGAGTCTAGACTCACTAAGATTCAAGAACGTCTTGCCAAAGAGACGTCTGAACAGCAAGCGCATAGGTTAGGCCTTATTTATGACCGTCTAGGCACGGGTTAATAGTAATATACACGGTGATTATAGGCGTTTTGGAAACGAAATATTAAAAAAAAGTTTCTGTTTTAATATTCATTTTTACTCGATCGACTTGGAAAGTAGTAATGGACTGATCATTCATTCATTATTTTATATGAATGAAACACGTCCGTGGGCGTTTCGGCGGCCGCTGCGCACCGCCGACGCTAACAGCAGCTGATAAAAGTATACCTATAGCCGCGAGCTAGCGAGTACTTACGTAGATAGACTCCAATTTGTCCTTCATACTTTACACGGGCTTAGGACCGTCGGAAATACCTATTTTATTTAAACTTCTTTTCGATTATTAATCACGATTGTTCTTTTCACAACAAATCAATTTATCAACGGACTGTAGGTATAAATATTTCAGGCGTATTTAAAAAATCGGAGCTATCTACAGAATAATTAACTTGCATACCTATTTACACTATTTACACTTCTCTGTATCGAAGGAACTGCTCAAAATGGAGTCCGCTGCATTCAATACACAAACGTCAACGTTTAATGCAATTGTTTTTTAATTTTCTTAATGTGTCTCTATCACTTTTCACTTTATCAAAAGCGTCCACTATCGCAATGCGTAAATTATCACGGCTTTCATATTCCCGTGTATAAACAAGTCTTTTTATTTCCGACCATAAGAAAAAATCCAGGGGCGTTAAGTCCGGGCTTCTAGGTGGCCAAGGCACTGGCCCTCCTCGACCTATCCACCGATCACTAAACTCATTGTCCAGGTATGCACGCACTACACTCCGGTGAATAATAATTTAAACGTCCTTGACCTTGCGCGAGAGTATAGTATTTCTATTCGTAGTATTTACCTACTTGCGATTGAAAAGCCCTACTACTGGTTCTCACCTTTTCTCTGTAATCGATATGAATATCGACTTTGATGATAAAAAAAATACATATTTGATTAAATTAACGTTATATATAGCTTCTGTTACTGATAAATAACTCAAAATTTTCTTTTCCAAAACGCTTTCAAAATCACCGGCATTAATTCGGCATTTTTACTTGTAAATATTGTTCATTTTTTATATGTTTTGACTGACAAAGCGTAGTTTCGTTGTACGTGTGCGTGTAATTGTGTACGTACACGCCAAGGTGTAGTTGTAATTGACCTTACTTCTTTGTTCACAAAGTACCATCTTAACTTTTTTGAATATAATCTGAGGATAATACATAATTGTCTCTCATTTTTTATGACTACTATTTCGTGTATGACGTTGCTACTGCTGGCTATATGTGGAGATATGATATGAATCTTTAGTTGTTATTGCGTATAATGATGAGAGTGGGTTAAATAGAAACTACATGTTTAAAATAATTGTTTTAAATTAGTTTTAAAACATTAATTATTTCATTTTTATTTTATTTACAAGATTAAGCCTTGCCAGTACACATGGGACAAAATCACAGTAAACTGTGATTTATCATTCGATTTTTCGTACGTAGGTTAGGGTTGCCAGGTAGGTAGATAGGTTAGACGTAATTTAACAGTAATCTGGTATTTTTATAATTAGTATGTAGGGAATGATAGCTATCTATAATACAATAATGACTAGATTTACTGCTGAATAGGGTCTTTATGCATCGTCTAAAAACAGCTTATTGGCAACAACGCGTAACTAAGTAGTAACCCTAACCTACGTACGAAAAAATCGAATGATAAATCACCGGTCTTTCATAGTTCACTGTGATTTTGTCCCATGCCTACTTGCCAGGCACTGACAGACAGAACGTCCCCCTGAACTGTCACTGTCACTGTTGCATTTGATTGACTGCGAGAACATTATTGATTTTCACATGACATTGGCGAAATTGTGGTTACACTCTACCACAAAGCCATTAACCAAAAGTTGAAGTTGAAGTTGATTTTCTAAAAAATATAGCACATTATCATTACAATAAATAATACTTTCAATTTAAACAATAAATAATTTAAATTGTATTTACCTGTAATAAAAGCAACCTGCATTCTTTTACCTTGTCATTTTACCAAGTTGCCAGATATGATCTTGGTACTCTATCTAATATTTTTTATTTTATTTTGAAATAATGTTTTATAATATCATGATTATATTTCTTCAACTTCATTTTAATCAATATTAATCAAATATAAAAAATAGTCAAACTTTCCGGAAAGTTGGATGGAAAGTCGAATTAGACAAGTTTTATAAAATACCTTAAATTGAATTGCTGTAAAAAATTACTGTATGGGTGGTATAAGGTGAAGATGATTCTTTAACAAAATTATTTGGTCTCGAGTTAAGAACTATAGTTTTTCTGACAATCGACACTTTAATATTCTTAGCTAGCAACATTAAGTGATTCAAAATTTAAAAATATTTGAATAGAATTCAAAAGTGTAACGTACTTTTGACTTGCTTTCGTTGTAGATTTGATTTTGCTTTCATTGAATGAATAAAATATTTGGTTCATATGTATTTATGAAAGGAATTCTATTTATAATAATCAGTGTCTGATACCAACATATTAAATAGTGTAAACAGTGATCAGTTTAAAGTATGGCACAATTCAACTACTTGAATGAAATAAATAACGTTGCCAAAACAATGGATGGTCCTTTATCACGAGGTCCTCCTCAGCGTTGGGCGAAGAAAACTGCGAATGAGAATATAAATCCTGGACTAAGCGCTTCGTTCAAGAATCATTCAAATGTGAACATAAGTGCTTGTAACTTATCAATGCAAAAGTTGTCTGTATCCGGGAACCTAAGTTGTAATAATAGTGTCCTACTCTCAAGCAATAAAACGCCAATTCGAAATGATAACAAGAAAGGAAAGAAAACACCTTCGAAGACTAAATCCCCCGGTAAATTGCAATTTTATAGTCATAATTTACATAATTACTCTCATTTACTCCATACTTGCTTGCCTAGGCTTTTATCATTTCTTTTTGCTATCGCCAGCCAATAAATAAGTAATTGTATAGTGTCATTACCATTATTTATTTTCTAGTTTGGGATTTTTATATATATAGACGAAGAAAGTTATCCCTCTAAACTTGCAGGTCGCTCTACTACTCCAACTCCCAACAAAGCCTCAAAGACTCCAAATAAAGCTGACAGGTTTATACCATCGAGGAGCAACTCCAACTATGACTTGTGCCATTATATGGTGAGTATAAAATGTTTTGTATATCAGGTTTCCTTACTAATAATATAAAAAGACTAAAAATAGATTAGGACACCAGGATCAAGTGGATACCAGTTTAAAATGAAAAAATAAGCTTTAAATAAAATGTGTGTGTAATCACCTTTCTCCCTAAGGATAATAACAAAGTGATAAATAGTGGTCTAAATACAGTTACATCCTATGTAGTCTTGGGTTGGTGTTGTTTGTCATCAGGGCACTCCTAACTCAATTTAGATGCAATCCATGACTTAATGTATTTAAGAGTATTCTGATATTATAGCAAGTATAGTAAATTAAAATTAAAGAGAGATTGGTGATAATAACAATTACTTTCAGATGAGCCGTGATGAGGATAAGAGTGAAGAAGCTGTTGCACAGACTGCTGCATCAGAAGCAATTGGACGAGCTCTCGCTGATACAGAGCCTGGTCGACTGTTGCAATATACCTGCAAGGCACCTGCTGCTCCAGAAGGCTACCAAAACAGGCTTAGAGTTGTGTATTCTCAGGTACAATTTACTTGCTTATAACCTTCACAATTTTTATACTAACTGGCAACTTGGAATATGGCATATTGTGAGTCTTCACTTATTTATGTTTTGTTAAATATAGTTTATTAAAATAATATTCTTATAAAAAACATAAGCAAGGTTTATTTTTTTGTGGAAAACGGGCAAGCAAGGAGATGGATCACCTCAGCCTAAATTCTGCTATTTTAATATTGTATAACTAGACTGTCGTCGAAATAGTTTTGCACTTTTCATATTTAACCAACTATGTATGACCAATAGCCTCCTGAGGACTTGTCCCTGAACTGCCACTGATAAAAATGTTGTAGATGTCTTTGTTATAGTTTGGAAGGTACATTTTAAATTTGTAAGAGTGATATATTTAATTTTCCAGATATGGCAATGTTGTTGATGTCAACATTGATGAGCCATTCTGCATAGATGTCTGGAAATATTATTATTATCACTAAATCAACAGGCCATTGACTCTGAATTTATGTTAATATAATACCAATATATTGACCGTTGTTAATGGCATTTCATTGGCGTGTCAATGGAATGACAGTGGCTCGTGCATTAACATAAAATAGCAGAATTGAGGCCCTGATGCCAAGTGACTAGCATTGGTTATACTCTTGGTGCGAGCTATTGTTGACTTAATCAAAGACATTTTAAGGTGGCTTACATTGTCAAACATAGACGAAATTAATCAGTGACCATAAAGCAAATGTGTCACATCAATTTTTAAGAGTTTTGCGAAATTTTACACAAAGACAGGTTTTCTTAAAATTAAATGAAGGGCCATGTTGGAGAATAGCAAGTGGTTTCATTAACTTTCATTATCATTTATATCTAACTTTCATTAATGCTTTTTAATATTATATTTGAATGAAATATATATCAATAAGCATGCTCAAAGACTGAAAACGCTTTTTTGCTAGAAATATTTTTATCCTGTAACAATCACTAGACAATGACCTTAGTGCCCTTTCTGTTGCTAAAAACAGAAAATTTTGAGTTTATTAAAAATTCATTCAAAAAAGACAACAAGGAATACATTCTGTATCGCGGGGGACTTTACAAACGTACATGAAACGGACACAAAGAACACCCAGACTTAGAACAAAAATTTGTGCATCACACAAAGTGTCGTCCTATGTGAGGATCGAACCAACAACACTCAGCGTAGTCAGAGGCGGATTAAGTATTAAAAGCGCCCTAGGCAAGCACCTCATCGACGCCCCCCTCCCCCTCGCGCCTCTAGCGTTTATACTATATTATTAATAGGTGCTGTTTGACGTTACTAAATGTGTGATAGATCACTACCACACAACTCCAAATTTTTCATCACTATCTTTACTAGAAGTTTTACTTTTTATGGAAACCCCTATGAGCTGCCGCCCCACCGATGTTTGCGTTGGGGCGGTGTATTGGTATCGAACCGACTAAAACCACACACTCAAGTAGTAGGGATCTGATAACAACTTTAATTAAGATCAGCCCTTCCTTGTTTTTGGTGACAGATGGCCTCACCTTTCACCCCCTCAGGCCTGCACTTATACAGGATGGATGGATGCGAACTTCCACGCTCCATCGCTCCGTACCATGGCCGTAATCATGGCAGTGAGATAGAGTATGCTCATTTCGATGGCCGTCACGAGGTCACGCCTCTGCTCCACCCACGCCACGCCGGGCATTCTAGTAACGTGTGGAGCGCCGTGTACACCGCAATGGTAGCACCCAGGCTTTAGTGCCTAGCGGAGCAGATACAGATTAATCCTTCGTCAGCCGGTATGAAAGGGGCCCTTGTTTCCTCTCGAGCCAATCCTCCATAACGGGTCTTACCGCCGCTATAACGGCGTTCGCGGCAGGTACCTCATCGAGGGCACGATGTTGATACGGATGCCTCCTACTATGAGACTGGATTCCTTATGTGGCCTCCTCCGAGGCTTATGAAAGAACGAGGCCTCATATTTGTACAGAGACGCCTCGAGTCCCAGCCGCCGGATCCTCACGGTGCGCCTTAACGCACGCTGTCAGGAGTGTGTCGTGCATGAACTCGTCGAACTTGACGACGAGACCAGCTAGCGCTTGCCCTTCAAAAGTGTGGGCACCAACTCAAGGTTAAACTCCTATTTAGAAGACGTCCGCCACACGAGGGCGTCACCTCCTTGGCCTAGGCGTTCGTGGCGAGTGGAGGTGAAAACCCGTCCACCTGAGATCACACTCATGTCACCATGAAGCGTTGGAAGACACGCTAGCCATTGAGCGTATAACGGCTGGTAGCCGATCCGCACCCTCTCGATCCCAAGAAATTCTCACCGATGACTGCAATGACGCTACGTTGCACTGCAGTGGTGACAGGTGCAACTCAATTCACTCCTAGAGATCGACTGATGGTACCTCCCTAAGCAAACGTGCCGTAGAAAAGACCTGTGTCAGTCGGAAGGAAAGGGTCCCGTGCCACCACCCTTCCCACTGACCAGCTGGACCGACTCCATGTCGCCAAAGTCATACGTGTCCAGCCGGGACGACCAAAGAGTCATCGTGGCTCGGCAGGCGGCCTTTAGCCACTCATTGCCGCCTTTAAATCTCATGGGCGAGATCCGCCACCACCCTCAGAAGCACGCCTTATTCTGGACGATCAGAGCTTTCCGACCACACCGTTACACCGTATTGTGCCATGGACTGGACAACCCTGGTCCCTTAACTTGTAGAGTAATCTCAACTACAGCTGTAGTTGTAGCAACTACATTATTGTGTGCGCGCACTACTTTTCGTAGGTATCAGAAAATAAAAGCAAATAAGTAGTGGCAATTACGTAATATAAATCAGAGATGTCAACCTTAAACATCTATAGAATTAAGGAATAGTTAAATTTTCTTTGTTAAAAAAAGGGTTAATCCGCCACTGAGCGTAGTAGTAAGCGGCGTGGCAACCGCTTAAACCACTAAACCATCCGTGCAGTTTCATTTCTAACCCCGACGAAAAACGAGCGGTGTTATAAGTTTAACCTGTGTATTTGTCTGTGGCATCGTAGCTCCCGAACGAATAGACCAACTTGGTTGCGGATTGTTTTGTTCGAAAGCCGATCGAGATAGTTCTTAGCTACAAATTTTTAAGATCTTCAGCTCACTTCCTAGGTGATGTAAGGGATCTCACTAAAATCCACAGGTCCGATTGATCTGAAATTTGGTATCCTGTTACTTCGATGGTATTTCCACGACATGGTAACCTGGAGCCCACTGCTGCATCAAGTAGTCTGCGGGATAGCCAAACTCCTCAGAAAATTACAGCATACATACCATTAGAATAGTCTCAATGAGCAGTTGTTATTTAAAAAAAAAAATTGTGTCGGGGGGGGGTTTTTTAATGATCCTATTATATACTATTATATATAAACCTTTGTAATATACGCTGAAAGAATATATTATATTCTTTAAGCGTATATTACAAGGTTTCAAAAGTTGGTCTCAAAAAGTGTAGGCTCATTACATGCTTAATCTCTAATAGATAAATGAATTGATACCTGATGGATTGACCTGGACCTGATGGATTAGAATGTGTCATCCCTTCTTCGTTGCTACAATGCATTCTGGTCCTAAAGTGTTTCTGTGATTGACATTAATGTCTTCAGTCTTTGAGCATAATATATAACTAGTATATATACATATGTTTCATGTATGTTATATTTCATAGCAATACCTACCTATTTAAGGTAGCATAAATAAGTTTGAAATCAAATGATGTGCATTTGATTTCAAACTTAGAATTACTAATAATTATTTAATACAATATTGCAGGCTAAAATCCCATCATCAGTAAAGAATACAACGAGGTACATTCCACAAGCCCCTGATAGAATACTTGATGCTCCTGATATTTTGGATGATTACTGTAAGTACTCTACCATTGTTAAATAAGTTTAAAATCAATTGAACCTATATTCGTTGACTATATGATTAATATCCATGTTAATTTTTTTGAAATTGGAGTTTCCTTTTCCGTCACAGAAGATAATAGTGAACCCCTTCCATCTTTTTCATAGATTGTCACAATTGCAGCTTTCCCCTCGTTCGTGTGAATCCATGTTCATTTTAAGACCCACTTGTTTAGAGATCCTACTAAGACCATCGAGCATTGTGCTGTGGTCTTCCATGGTTTCAGCCATGACAATTATATCATCAACAAATCGAAGGTGAGTGGTATACTCACCATTAATGTTGATATCAAGTCCATTCCAATCCAGAAGTCTGAAGACATCTTCCAGGGCAGTGGTGAACAGTTTCGGAGATATTACTCTCCCTCCCTCACTCCTCGCTGCAGTTGGATAGGTTTTGAGCTCTGATCCTGTAGATGCACTGACATAGTATAGTAGCGTTCTTCGTTCGTTCGGCAGTCGATTTGGCATTGCTGGAGAGACTGAAGCACAGCCCAAGTTCGAGTCAAAGTCAAGCGATCTAATAGTGGAAGGTTATATTCTTCGGATTTCTGTATAACCTGCCGTAGCGTATGTATGTGGTCTATGGTACTAAAGTCTTTTCGGAAACTGGCTTGTTCGGAAGGATGGAAGTCGTCAAATCTGCATTCGAGACGATTCGTAATGACTTTCGAGAAAAGCTTATGGACATGACTCAGAAGACAGATGGGACACCTCTAAGGCATGGGCCCCAGGCGGCTTATCTCCGAGTATGACGGTATAGAATATCTTCTAAGGACTTGACCGGCCGCCTTGTTGTTCTTGAGCTGTTTGAGAGCCGTACTAATCTCGAAACAGTGACGTCCGATATATCTTCGGTATAGTGCCCGGTTAACTTAGCGAAAATAAATTAAACTTTCTTGAAAATTAATTAAACTGAAAAGTAATAAAAAATTATAAATTGCATAATTTAATGATCTAGTAACAGACAGAATCACCTTATGCCCTCTGATTTTTAAGGGCTCTTGTTTACAGTTAATGTTTTGTTTAGTTATTTATAATACAATCGATAGATGTAAATTCCGTTAGATTGCCTGTTGTTTCGACCAAGTTACAAAGGCTGACAAGGTGACAGAGTTCTATTCAGTGAAGCCACCTACGAGCAACATTCTTAGGTAAATTATATTTTATAAGAGGAGCCCCATAAATTCGTCCATTAGGGCGCCGCCCACTTCGACTGGCGTGATAGATGTGTTAATAATGGGGATTCAATGGCATAGTGCCTTATGATATGTAACAGAAGCAATCCAGATGACCTAAATGTTTAATGGGGACAGAGTATTATGATAAAAAGTAAAAGAGATATCATGTTTTTAAATAAAATATATTAATTTCTCTGTTTTAGATCTAAACCTCGTTGACTGGAGTTCGTCAAATATTCTGGCAGTGGCTCTGGGCAATTCAGTGTACCTATGGAACGCTGGAACGGGTCAGATAGAACAGCTCTGTACTCTTGAAGGTTCAGAAACTGTATGTTCAGTTCAATGGGTACAAGGCGGCGGTTCGCATTTAGCCATTGGAACATCGTCGGCCACTGTTGAGTTGTGGGACTGTGAAAAAATTAAAAGATTAAGGGTATGTGTATTTCTTAAGTCTTTGAAATCTATATTATCCACTTATTTGAAAATTCTTATCATTTAAATGTTACTGTATTTTGGATAAACATCGGCTCTATGTTAATGGGTGATCATTCCGCTTAACGACTTAAAAGGAGCAAGTAGATATAATAATTGAGTATAATGCATGTGTATAACTTCTGATGCCTTGGATCCTGTATTTTGGAATACTACACGCTCGTCAGCAAAGTTTACATATAATAGAATTACACTCGAAATTAGGTCTATCTAAAGGTACAATTATGGTGGTCCCAGGTCATGGACGGTCACACAGGGCGAGTGGGGTCCCTGGCGTGGAACATGTACATTGTGAGCAGCGGAGCTCGGGACGGGAACATCGTGCACCACGACGTGCGGCAGCGGGACCATGCCGTGGCCACCATACACGCTCATACGCAAGAGGTATGGATATGTTACTAAAAGTACACTTTGTAGTACTAAATTTAGGTTCTTTGATATGATGAACAAATAATAATAGATAAATTATAGGTATAATAATAATAACTTCACACATCTCATGACAGTCTGATCACAAACTAAGGCGACCTGTACTATGGTTACCAGACTGCTGATAAACATACTTTATGTTACAAACATGTTTACTTATATATTTCTAAGTACATACATAATAAGTAGATTATACCCAGACACAACAAATGATCAGTCTCATCACACAATTATTTGTTCTAGGTGGGAATCGAACCCACGACCTTCAGCTTAGCAGTGAGGGTCACTAACCACTAGAATAATAGACACGTCAATAGTACATTATATACATATCATATTAAGATATAGGTATCTATGAGAGAGATCTATGATAGATATGGCAGGTTGTAGGACTTGCCTTTGCCTTGACTTTGAATGTACCTGAAAATTATCATGAGCAGTTCAAAAGCTTTCTTTTCATAAATCTTTTTCGATACTTGTTTAGTCCAAAAAATAAGATTGTGGTAAATTTTTTTTTACAGATATGTGGACTTAAATGGTCACCAGATGGCAAGTGCCTAGCATCAGGTGGCAATGACAATTTGTTGAACATTTGGCCGGTCGTACAGGGACAACACTACTCACAGCCACAGCACCTTTATTCATTCAAGTAAGAATATTTTGATTAATCTTCTTCCTTTAGTTTGGGAATTGGTTCAGTCGTATCTTTGCGCTTTCCAAAAAACCTTTGGGATTTGATATATATCTATGTATGTATACAACATTTTAAGATGTATGTAGGATTGATTGGCCACGTGTTTTGCGTAGTATTAGTAGTAATCAGAGCGAGACCATTCTTTTGTTTATTTGCTTACCTAACTTTACATGCAACAGCCCAGCCTATCGATACGAACCACAAGTGTGGTTTTAAATAGATTTGATGTTGAGTAGAGAGAGGGCAGGAAGAAAAAGGATCAGTGCCTACTTCCTCGGCAAGTTGCCAATTATTACACTAAATAGTTATAAACTGCTACGGCAATAGCACTAAAGCAAGAAGAATATAAATTTTGGTGCTTCATTATGAATGTCGACGGAAAGCTTTTACTGAGACTTCTCTGTGCATTAGATAATCTATTTATGTGCGACCTGTTTTACGTACCGGCATAATTTTCGTATATATTTCTATTGCCTGTCTAAGAAGTCTTAAAAAACAGGAAAGGCTCAAGAAACATATTTTTTAACCTTTATTTACTGGATCTTTATAACGAGAATAGGTAGACGCTTAAAATGTAGTGTGTATGTACAAACATGTTTATATATTGTTATAGCTTCTCATGGTTCTTTTACTAAAATATTTATAAAGTACATCGTTTTAAATTTTAAACGATGTCAGTGCGTGGATGAAAGCCCTGGCCTTGTGTTACATTGACTCGTTCACCTTGTTTTTATCGATATTTTGTGTTGATAATTTTGAAATGGATAGGTATTTTTAAAGCATAAGTAATGACTTACTTATGCTTTAAAAATACCTATCCTACCTAATTCTATCTAATAAGAAAATTATAAAGTATATCATCAGATTTACTTAAGCTGCATTAACAAAATTACTACAATTCTTAATTTAAAAATATGCAAAACTTTCAGTCCTGTAAAATCGGATGCTAACACAAGGGCCCCAATATAATTAAAGTTTATAATTCTTTACTTCTCAGTCAACATCTGGCAGCAGTGAAAGGTTTAGCTTGGTGTCCGTGGAGCGCTGGAATATTGGCGTCCGGCGGCGGCACGGCTGACAGGACGATACGCATTTGGAATATAAAGACTGGTGCTAATCTGAATACTGTTGATACCAAGTCACAGGTATGTGTTTGTTACATTCATAAATATACACCTTTCCGCCACCATGAACACGATACACATTTTTACGATAGAATGATTTTTCTTTTTGATTATTTCCTACTTTTAGTTCGCCTAGCTACAAAAGCGTGCTTTAGTTTTTTAAACTATAATTTATTTTTTCTTATTTAGTAATTATTATGTTATTAAGACAAAAAAAGTAACAAGTAAGTTTATCATATATGCTTCAGCACACACCTTAGTATGTGGAAAAACACACTACCGTGTTTTTAGGCCTTAAAAACCCATTAATCCTGAAAATACAAACTATTTAAACTATTGCATTGTTATTGGTCCTTGATAAGTGTGCAGTTTCAATTAAATTCGACGTTAAAGTGGGTAAGAAAACGTTCGAAGATGGCGTTATATAAATAGATACGTACTTACATAGATACATACATACTAAGGTAATAAAAGCGTGTTAAAAAGAGTTTAATTGTAAGGTATGTTTAAAATATTGTTTTTTTTTTCATGCAAATAATAAATATATAATCATAAAAATAAGACAAATTCATTAGATTAACCTATACGACTTGTAAGTTTAGTATTTGATACTCCTTAAATTTGTATATTTTCATTTGTAAAGTTTCAGCAGTTTGGTTACCATAATACCCATATGGCTCTATCTAGTTTGGGATCAGGTCGTGTGTGAGATGTGTGAAATATTATTATTAAAATCTTATAGTTCTTTTAAGAGCTTATCGAATAAGTGATATCTTTAGGATTATAATTTTGTTTCCCATGTTGAAGTGTATCTAAGCGTACGTATCTAAGGTCAATATCCGTTCGCGTCAGGTATGTTCGATAGTGTGGAGCACGCACTACAAGGAGCTGATCTCGGGGCACGGGTACGCCAACAACCAGCTGGTGATCTGGAAGTACCCGGTGATGTCGCGCGTGGCCGAGCTGAGCGGGCACATGGCGCGCGTGCTGCACCTGGCGCTCTCGCCCGACGGCACCACCGTGCTGTCCGCCGGCGCCGACGAGACGCTCAGGTACCGAGCGTCACTCCCCATAACCTCACTACTCCATTTAGAAATACGTTTAATTCTGATATTTTTGTGTTTATTTATCTTAGATGGCGGCTTTATCGATATATTAACATAGATAAAAAAATAGTAAACGGCGGAGCGACGTTAAAGTTAAAATTGCCGAAAGCTAAAATTTAGAAAAATCGTGTTATTCATTTAAAAAGTCGAAGTACGGATACAAATTTGCTTTTCCTGTTTCGCAAATGAACGAAAATTTTTGGGTCCACAAATTGAAAATTGAAATAAACATATAAACTCTAAAACCTTAAACTATTAGAAGAGGGCTGATAGTAAAAGCTATAGCTAAGAACACTCGATACAACCTTATCAACAAAAAAAAAATTACATCTCGGCAATCTGTCCAACCTTTCGCAGAAGTATTGATGCTGTGGAGGGGACGCAATTGTAAATGTGCCAAAATAGTCGGTCTTTATAGATATCCATAGTTTTATTTTGTAACTTTTTTTATCGAAACAGAAATATATTTTTATTACAGACTCTGGAAATGCTTTATGTTGGATCCATCAAAGAAGAAAGAACCTACCGATTCGAAGGCAGCTAAATCATTACTTAATCTAAACTCACTTATAAGATAACTCAACATTATGATTTATACAATCAATTGACTGAAATTGTGATTTACAATTAGTTTATTAACAACAAACAATTGTTGTGTTTAATATATGTTGACTTAATTCAAATTTATTTGTAACTATTTCTAGTGATTTTGATGACTTACAAATCATATTGCATGTTTGTAAACAACGAATGTTTCTACATTATTTACACAAGGAATTTTGTAATAATATAATTATTCTTTAGCACACATTAGCTAGACAACGAGCGACCTTCTAACAGTATTGGACCCAGTTTTGTTACATGTATTGATTTTTGACTAATCAAGAGGAGTTGAGGTCGTAAAATGTGTATGTCGCGATATTCCCGATTTTCTCTCGCAAACTTTTCCTTTTCTTTATTATCTTAAAACTTAGTCTTTCCTTACTATCTTCGAATACTTTAATTCTACATTTCATTACCTCGGCTTCCTTGTTCTAAGGACTGTACAAACTTAAAGTATTGTGTAATTAGATGTACTGTTTGTATAATTTTAAGTATGTGTTAAGATGTTTTGTATTATGTATTTTTACAATAAGAAAATAAAGATTTACATGAAAACTGTGTACATATTTATTGCAATTTAGAGTAACATCTATTGCTTTACGTCTGCGCGTCCCATTGTAATTGTTGTTTCCAGTTTAAGTAATGTGCTAGGTCGAGCGGTTATTTTACCTATTCTTTCAGATGCATTAGATCCCCATGATACCCGAGTAAATCCCCATTTAGCATCCATACTACTACCACACCGTCACTGTTTGGGATTAGTGGAATTTCATATCTACTTATCCCTATCAAGTCAATTTTGTTAATACACGAGTCGAGTCAGTCGAGAATAAAATCATTCTATTGGAAAATATAATTATTTAAGAAGAAATTTATTTATATAATTTGCGAATAATATTATCTCAATTAACCAATCATTCTCATAATGAAATAATAATATTTTTCTATGCAATTTAAATAAATTTTCCAGGCATTTAACTTTTCCCATGCTGAAATCTTGAAGATTGATGTTAGATTTTATATTGGACCATTCATCTATCACCTGATCCACAGTTAAAAGAGGTAACGCAGCAGTCAAGGCAATTCTTAATTTGTCTAGTTTTAACTGTTGTCCTGTTCGCTAAATTGCTTTTACGCACGGATTTTAGGGCCTGAGTTACAGAATCTTGAAAATCTGTCATAAAAACTTTTGGTACCAATTCTTTAACTTGTGATTTTAGCATCCCGAATAGAACTTTTTATATGCTTTCGTTTTCTTGTCCGGGAGTAATGCATAATCTTAATGATAAGTCTTCTCAATGAGGCTCCTCTGTTTCGGGCGCTCCGCACACTGAATATCGTTGCAGAGGAGATTGACATGTTTCATTGTTCGCTGAGTGAATTCACTAAGGTAACGCTATTTATCTTAAGTTGTAAATATTTGAAAATAATACGCTTCGCTATTGCATTAGGTGTGTAAACTGTAAGTATAGATGTAAGTTTGATAATAAATTAATAAATAATTTAATGAATGGTTACCAATTGCGTAAACAGGGGAGTACACATTTGAAAAGTGCTATCACAAAATTATTATTTAGCCGTTGCCATTACCCACTCAGGACCGAAAACTAATATCCGAGTATCTAAATGTGTATAATCTTCAATAACCAACGACTGAAATCGCGGTGGAATGTCATCAAAATCAACAAATTTAAAAAAAAAATAACACCCGTTTTTATATTCCTATGCTTGTACAGCCCAGATTTTACAATGTCAAATTGAGGAATTTAAACTGCAAATAAGTGGTAGAATAATTTTGATTTCATTTATACTATTTTATATATCTCACACACGGCTGTCTGATCCCAAACTAGGCAGAGCCTGTACTATGGTAACCACACTGCTGATAAACATACTTATATATTTTTAAATAGATACATATTTTAGATTAATTACACCTAGACACAGAAAGAATGACCTGAACCCACGACCTCCGGTTTAGCAGTCAGGGTTACTAACCACTACACCAACGACAATATGATTTACACATTATTTTATAATGACAATGACAGGAACATATTTCCTTATGAAATATACTCAGTCCATAAAGAGGTACACACCAGCTACAATTTTATTAATCTATCAAAAAGGCTTGAATATGAATTTCATGTCATGAAAGGCTATTTTTAATCAAACTACAACAATACGTTAAGATTTTATTAGTAGTTATAAGTGTATATCTCTCATTCCAACCAGTGACTGTGTGGTAGGAAAGAGTGAAAAAAAAATCCACTTGTCCCCACCAAGAGGGACAGCTGGTAGGGACTAGTGGAACAGCACGCGAGCACACCTAAAATACTGCTTTAGGTAATTTTGTGCCAACCATACTGAGGGGGCTGAAGACAAACGTTGATAGTGCTTCACGGTTCTTCTCCCCTAGCAGTTCGAAACACGAAATATCTCATTGAGTAGTTCAAAAGGCCATAACTGTTCTTGCGTGAGACGACCTCGGATCCTATAAACGCCCACCTACTTTTAATGTAAAATACGCAAATATCTAAAATCGACGTTACATAACATAGATGATCAGGTTAGACGTGTGTTTTATGAACTTGTTAGGACTTCTTGATGTGAACATGTATTGTATTGATTGCAAGAGTGCCGTTTTTAAGCCTGACGATTTTAATGTTTAAACATACAATATTCATTATTATTAGTTGATTGCTCATGATGATGCTTTAAAGGGATCCAGCTCGGTACAGTTGGACCAATTAGACTGTTTAATTTAATAGATTATAGCTCGGTGATGGTGAAAAAGGCTTAAACTTTATTAAGCAATATTCCCAAAGCATGAATGTACATAAAAACGTTTTAAAATATTATCTATTACTTTAAAACGGTAATATTTATTTATTGATAAGAAACTCAACAGCTTGTTTACATTACACATGATTATTGTGACACTGACACAGTATGCTTAAGCTAATTACCAGTTTCATGACATTTTGTTGACTAAGAAGTGGAAATAGCTAAAAGAAAAATCTTCACGAAAAGAAAAAAAACATAACACACAATACTAAACTTCATCATACGCCTGTCATTAAGGGGAAGCAGGTTATAGTGTTTACTGTCAACGGAATAGGAATCATGGCGCTTCTTACATTGAAAGTTAAGGAATCTTACGAACCTCTTCTGTAAACTATCTATTCTTGCAATATAAACCGTACATTGCGGTGACCAGACAGGACAGCAATACTCCAAAACGCTACGGACATAGGCGTAATACACAATTTTCAAACTGTGACAGTTTCTAAAGGGTTTACAGGTACGCATTATAAAGCCAAGATTACGTGATGCCTTATTAATGATGTTATCGATGTGTTCCGAAAACAGAAATTTGAAATCTAGCATTACACCAAGACCTCTAACTACTTCAACCCTTTCAATGTCATTTTTAGGGTTCCGTACCTCAAAAGGTAAAAAAGGAACCCTTATAAGATCACTTTTTTGTCCGTGTGTCACCACCGATTTTCTTAGGAACGGGTAGACATAGCTAGTTGAAATTTATACCAGATACTGAAGTCTATGGTCTCTATTAGGTGTATAAAAATCTAGTTACATATAGTTTTAGGTGATGTGTCATATAGTTTTAGGTGCAAGAGGAAATAAAACAAAAGAAATCATTGATATATATATTGATATTTATATGTACTAATAATAATACTATAACATTATCAAAAAATATTTTTCTTATTACAAAACCAATCACATTCTCATTACAGTAAATTTCGATGTAGGTTTGGGTAAATTTATCATTATTCTGTATTGTTTATGAAATACAATTTGAGCATTATACGTATTATATATTTAAAAAATAGGTACTAAACTTAAAAACGTTTGGCCATATCATCTGTCTTTCACAGCCTTATAAAGTTGGCATGAGCTATCTTACATACAATCGCAGTATTTACGTCTCCTTGCATAATATAAATGTGCACCTTGTATTTCTAATTTTGCGTAAATACATTATAAGATCCACAAAGTATCGCCGTTATAAATTATATTGAACCAGTTTTATTAAAACACTACGTCAAACAATACCCTTCATATCCTGGAAGTTCCGTATGAGTTAATCGTAGTTTATCTTTACATATAATAATGTCCACAACCTCTCATTCCTCGCTATTAATAGGTGGGTGTATATAATTATACATATTATTCGTGCCCAAGTATTTCATCTATGAGTTCTAGCTTGATGTTAAATTGATTTTGCACGTTGACGATGTGTGAGATCGTAACAATACGGAATAGAGATAAAATTTGCCATGAAATGATCTCTAGCACTGGAACTAACCCTCTTATACAGATAAAATATACTTGAACAGCGACCGGCAAAATTATTATATAGGTACTGAACCATCATTTTCAGCCAGCTGAATAATTGCTATCGAAACTCAGAACTACTACAGTTGTTACTCAAAAATTGAACAAGTTCTATTCATATAAAGAATTTGTCCTAAAATTGAAAAAGCTCGGCGTCATAACTATGAAAACATAAAGATCAAACTAATAAAAAAAAATGAAAACTAGCAAAGACATTGCACAAGAGAGTTCCTCCCTTGTGTAGGGAAGAACTCCCTTGTGTAATGTTTAACAATTCTATGGATTAATTTTAAAATTGCCGCAAAGTACTTGACTAGACCACTATTAGTCTCGGCCTTACCCAGGCTTTGTTAGACGGTATATGCATCGAAGTTTGCCGGCCACTGTTACTATTACATTATTATTACTGATTAAAAAATTTAATGGGTTCAGTCACCGTAGAACATTCGATTGAAGAATCCAATCAAATACCATAATGGCCCATTTGGACGTAGCTTTTTAATTTACTAATTAAAACATGAATAACAATAGGTACTTATTTTAATAAGTACGTTTTGCTCACTATTTACCTTATGTAATTACAACATATTTATTTATTGCATTGATTACTCGGTTGTCGAGAGACAACGCAAATATTGCTTACAGTTACATTTCAAATTGTTCGTACATTTAAACTAGCATAAACTATGCCTTATATTAAGCACCTTTGAATTACATTAGATAATGAAAAAAAACATTAATTTTTGCATGAACTTATAAATATATATATTGAAATTCCTTCCCTTATCCAGCTTCATGGATTGAGATAGTATAATATAGTATAACGCAAATCGAATGGTTTGTGAAATGTACTTGATACATAACATATATTTTGTATAAAAATATCAAAACTGTCATAATTAAACTTCATCGTAACATTATGCTAATTTTATAAAGCCAAATGATGGCACACATTATTGACAAGTAGAGATGTGGCTACTGTTCTCAGGCGAGTATTCGATAATAACAAGATTTGAAATCTTTTTAAAGCATTTAGACGGCTTAAGAATAAAGTATAAAATAAATCACATATTCGCCAAACAGTTAGCACATCCTACATTGTAGATATCAGTAATTTATTCAAAACTCAAACATTCAATAATTAAAATGGAATACATGAATGTCTGATGCTGTTACTAAACAACAAAAAAAATTATGTTAAAAGAAAAAATATTAACTTACGAAAAATTTGTTCTAAAAAATAAACATTAAAATGGTGTCTACACAGACAACAAAATGGCTCGACACGTATGTCAGAGTAATAAAATACCTTTTCACTAAGTCCCATTACTAAAACCTAGTGCTGGTGGGACTAAAAATAATCTCATACTTAAACACATTATTCTATTCTTATCGATCTATCTTATGTTTGTTCACATATGCATGAATTGAACGTTACATGCAATAATATCCATTTGAACAAAAAAATTATAATTTTAAACAAAAAGAAACTGCTTTATGGACTAGCACAGATAAAGAAAATCTCAATATATTATTCTAGTTTTAGTATTTCTGTTGTCTACTAACGTTAGCACTATAATAAACATTATGATATTGATATACTCATTAGGGAAAGAGCAATTATTATAATATGTCTCAATAAGTATTCCTGAAGCCTTTTGCCGTACTGAAAATAACTTACTAACTTGGCAAATACTTCTTAAAAGATAATCTAACCTATAGTATGACCTAGAAATCTCTTGAGTAACGCTGCAAAATATAGGAATAACTCATATAAAAATACTACAAACTCCTATAATAAAAAATGTGTGGAAAGAACAGCACCTTACGTATGATATTATCACAAAGCTGTTGTTTTGTGTAAAAACGAATTACATTACAATATGGAACAGTAGAATAAAATAAATGCATTTAAGGCAGTGCTACTTAACTTCGTTGAGCATTCGTAAAAATAGTGTCTTTAATAACTACATTTATTTTTTAAAGACCCATAGACATGCACCAGATAATTACTTAAAATACTCCTTTATTGTACATTCTCCTTGGTGACTATAACTCGTAGTCTATTATTTTGTGCGTTATCAAAATATAAATTATTGTACTTCTTGTAACAAGAAATAGGTCAGTTATTTTTTCCATAAAACAACAATCTCTTCAACTAACTTTCTAACAGCAAAAGAAACCTATTCCTGATAATGAAATTCTATTATTACTAAGAGATCATTATTAATCCTTGATCTTAGTTACTGGTTTTAAATATTAGTTTCGGAGTGTGCTTTAATGTATATGATATACAATAATGGCAGAATACACCGAAATAACTGTCAAAATTTTTTTTTACTAGCACCTAATTAAAACGATTGGATAATAATGGTCTCATTTTGTTAAAGCAGAACATGTTGCAAAATGAAGTAATTCTTTGATGGATCGTCAAGTTATTTTAAAGCTAAAGTTGTAACATATTCTGGTCTAGTGAATTTTCTTTGAACAAGTAATTGATTGACAAGTTTTTAAATGCTTTACCTCCACCACCTCATTTTGTTGCATGCTGTATCAATACACATTATTTGAAATGTTTCGATATCACTTAACTCCACACTATTTTAATTAATCAGTTTACTGTGATTACAAATACACATGGTCTGACCTATTTCCTGTTCTTCATGTATCATTAAAAGGATGGATATTATTGCGTGGAAAGTTTAAAAGGCGGTATGTTATGTGTTATTTTGCTTCATGACATTCATTATGTGGATATGTCCAGGGTTGTCGACTGTGACGAAGCAAGAAAACTTATTGTCATGACATAATCTCTTTGCGTTCATACCTGACAGCTTGATGCAAGCTAATATTTCCTTTCTTTTTGAGCCTTGTTTACAACTGAAAATAGAATGTGTTAATATTAGAAATTGTGACGTTACAATCATAATCAATAGTCATTAAAAAAGGGATGTTACGTGAAATAATATTTACTATTTATTGTAGAAGTATTTTATGCCCTATAGTATTTTAAGTGTCTATTCTACGAAAACGTCATCACAAATGGGTGTTCTTTGTGTCCGTTCCCGCTACACAGGATATATTCCTAATCCGCATTAGGAATATATCCTGTGTCGCGGAAGTTGTGTTTTGAAAGAATAAAAAAAAATTCGTTAACAATTTTCTTGAAAGCTTATTTTCAACCAGGAAAATCTTTTTCCTTAGAAAAAGGATCTCTGTTTTAAACTATATATACTGCGCCCCACGGTGGTTGTTGCAACTTGCTCATCCCACTAGAAGACAACATTTTTTTCGGTATAAAAAGCCTAGCCTATGTGCTATTCTAGACAATAATCTGTATCTGTACCAAATTTCATCCAGATCCATTCAGCCGTTTTTGCGTGAAAGAGTAACAAACATCCATACATTAATACAAACTTCGGCCTATATAATTTTAGTAAGATAATGGCGAGATATAAACAATATTTTAAGTAATAGCGAAATATCCAATAGCATGAATGTTTATTATAATTATTTGTTCTCAATAATAATGGACACATTCTTGCATACCAGACTGTATACTTTTTCAGTTGATACATCTTTCTGTAGGCTACCGTTTTTTCTCACATACATTGTTTATCGTAAATATATTTATTTGTACTTACCATTTCCCTTTCCAAATCGCTTTCCAACAATATTGCGGTAAAGCGAATGCATCGCCAAAGAAAATATTGCAGTTGGTAGATTCGGTGTTGCCATTTACGGTTGGTGTTTTAGGTTTGATCTCCATAGGACTTGCGACAGGTGATAGAAGATTTACGGCAGGCCTGTGAAATATAGCGTGAATTATTTTATAACTTTTGCTCTTGGTTATGTAACCAACTGTTGTACTAAGCCAATGTAATGAACTCAGCGCTTTAGTTTTTGAACACGAGCAGAGACCAGCGATGGGTTTATAACTTACCACTTTAGAACTATTAAACATTAATCAAGTTTAATTTGACGAAGTTTATTTATTTTTCATTTATTTAACTTTATGCACTATTGTACATCGTGGGACTTATGGCCAGGGTATACTCTTTCAGTCAATCTTTGGGTGGTGTAGAAATCTTGTAAGGTGCACAGAGGTTCCAACACAACACATCATAAATACACATACATATATAAAAATATATTTATATAGATACATATACATATGATATTCGTAGTCTATGAATACCGGAACATTAGGAAGACTATGTATTAGATAGTTCTGCCATTTCATTAAGAAGGAGATCATGTACCTTCTTTTTGAATATAAAACGGTTTGTTCACATTCTGATTTCGAGCGGGAGCGCATTCCATTGCTTCAACAAATAACTGATAGTTTAAAAAGTAGGAGTTGTGAGCGGGCTAAGGGAAGCAGATTATTAACTGAGAGAAGATTTCTGTCGCGATTAGTGGACAAGTAGGGAGCAAGGTAAGTACAAGAATAGGTAACCAGTTTAATTGAGAACTTAAAGCAGACACATTCATACTTTCGAAGACTGAAAATGTATCGAATGCTGTTATTTAGTAGAGGGTCTAGCTTATTAAGAAGGCCTGCATTCCTACATGCCTACATACCTATGCATACCTGCATACATGCATACCTACAAGAAGGCCTACATCACTTTAGTCAATTATTGGAATTATTAAGGAAATATAAGTTTAACTACCAACATTTCAATAGGTATTCGATAAGTAATAATTATTTAGCTGTGATAACTATTCAGTCAACCTTGGACAGAGAAGATAAATAGTAAAAAAACGCGATAATTTATTGAAAAATATCTATTTACAACTTTTGAATATTAATGTCGTGAAACCTCATTTTATAACGATATGATGTATTCCTTAAATATTTTTCACATTATTAGTTAGTGAGGTGAGTTACGGGTTATATTATATAATATAATTTTAATAATAATAAGATGAGACGCTCTGAGTCTGATGTGACCAGGTATATACTAACCTTTTGGCAATCCTATTAGCCCTTGCCTTCATAACATAAGTAATATCCCACCAAACGATTTCTGTCGCCATGGTAACTAAAACTAACGGTGGTTGGTCGTCGCTATCGTCTTGTGAGCAGGCGGTGTGGACAAGGTGGGGCGACATTTGGATTAACGAGTTCCTATTTGATCGGTCAGGTACTGGGGAGAAAGAACACGAATGCACTTTCGTTGTGTGGTGTTTTAAAAGTGCAATTTGATTTTGCCGTCGTACGTTCCATACCTTAAAAGAAATAATAGTTTGTTATATTACGTTACGTGTGATATTACGCAATAAACTGTAGATTAAAATAATGTGTTCATTATTATTATTTACATTTTAATACGTATAATACAACGCGGAAAGATTACGTTTCGAAGTTTTCTCCGTATATCGAGAGGAGAGTGGAGTGGATATGGAGTCTCATGACTACAGTGTAGGTTTTAAAATGATTTCAATTGTGATAATTTACAAAATACAATGAAAGAAAACTTGTGATTTTGAAGCTTCTAGCTTCCATTGTCGTAGGTCCTTAAGTACACAGTTTATTTTCTTTCTTTTGGCACGAGACTGTAGCGCTCGGCATGATTTTACATTCGGATATCACATGACATAAACAGCCTTTAATTATCCACTGCTGGGAATAGACTTCTCCATAGAAAGGAGGTTTTTGCCTACTATACCACGCTGACCAAACGGGTTGGTATAGGGTTTGCGTCGCCGCACGAGTAAGGAACTGGCGTGTCCTGGAAGAGGTTGAGACGCTCTCGGATCACCTGTATATCCGATTTGAGCTCTCCCGGACCCAGGACTCCAGTAGGGGTCACGTGGCGCGGCGTTTATCCCGCTTTCCGCGGTGGGCTGTTGCCAGACTGAACCGGGACCTACTAGAGGAGGCAGCCATAATTCACTCGTGGCTGTCTCCTCAGGCTCCGACCGAGGAGGTCGACGTGGGGGCTGGTCGCTTTCGCGATGCGATTACGCATGTATGCGATGCGGCCATGCCCCGCATTCGAGGTCGTCGGCCTCCAAGGAAGGAGGTCTACTGGTGGTCCCAGGAGCTGGCGGACCTCCGTACACGTGCCCGGAGGTCCTACACGCGCAGTCGGCGGCGTCACCGTGGAGACGGTGAGGAGGACCGGCTTCATGAGGAATACCGACGGGCGCGGAAAACTCTGAAGCTGGCCATTAGCCGCGCCAAAGAAGAAAAGAGACAGGAGATGCTGGAGGGTCTTAATCGTGACCCCTGGGGTCGCCCTTACCGCGCGGTGCGACAAAAGCTCCGCGCGTCGGCCCCCCCCCCCTTACGGAGACTCTCCAGCCCAGCTTCCTGCGAGAAGTGGTTGAGGGCCTTTTCCCACAACGAGCGGAACACACTCCCCCGGCGATGGCCTCCTTGGCCGGAGACGACGGGGAGCACGGCGAGGATAATGTTCCGCCCGTCCGGGATTCGGAGGTAGGGGCGGCTGTTCTACGGATCCGTTCCAAGAACACCGCCCCTGGGCCAGACGGGGTACCGGCCCGAGTGCTGGCCCTGGCCCTCAACCACATGGCAGACCGCCTCGGGGAGGTGTTCGACGCTAGCTTGGCGTCGGGACGCTTCCCTGAGTGCTGGAAGAGTGGGAAGCTGGTCCTATTGAGGAAGCCGGGACGGCCTGCCGATTCGGTCGCGGCCTATAGGCCCATCGTGCTGCTGGACGAGGCGGGCAAATTGTTTGAGAGGGTTCTTTCTGCCCGCATCGTCCAGCACCTCTGCGAGGTGGGCCCCGATCTGTCGGACGCCCAATTTGGTTTTCGGGCGGGGCGTTCGACAGTCGACGCCGTGTTGCGCCTGAGGGCCGTGACCGAAGAGGCCGTGAGCTGTGGCGGCGTGCTGTTGGCGGTGTCATTAGACATCGCCAACGCATTCAATAGTCTGCCATTCAGCTGCATCAGGGAAGCACTCCACTATCATGGGGTGCCAAAGTACCTGAGGCGGCTGGTGGCAGACTATTTAGAGGAGCGTACCGTCGTGTACGAGGACCGAGAAGGTAATTTGAGGAGTCGGCCCATGTCGTGCGGTGTTCCACAGGGGTCTGTTCTCCGACCCCTCTTGTGGAACATAGGGTACGACTGGGCCCTTCGCGCCGATTTCCCCCCCGGGCTGGGTGTAATCTGTTACGCAGACGATACCCTGGTGACAGCCCGGGGGGCAAACTTCCAAGAGGCGGCGCGCCTGGCCACAGGGGGAGTCTCCCTGGTGGTCGGGCGCATTGAGGCGCTGGGCTTACGGGTGGCCCTAGATAAGACGGAGGCCCTGTTATTTCATGGGCCCCGTCGTGGTCCACCCCCTGGCGCCTCAATCGTGGTCAACTCGGTCCTCGTACCGGTTCGGGCCCAGATGAAATATCTGGGCCTGATCCTCGACGGGAGGTGGCTCTTCGACGAGCACTTCCGACAGCTTGCTCCAAAGCTGGTCGGCGCTGCGTCTGCCCTAGGGCGACTCTTGCCCAATATGGGTGGACCCAGCGTCGCGACAAGACGGCTGTACACGGGGATTGTCCGGTCAATGGCGCTGTACGGTGCACCGGTGTGGGCGGCGGCTCTGACCGCCCAGAATAGGGTACGCCTCTGGCGCCCTCAGAGGGTAATGGCGGTCAGAGCCATACGCGGTTACCGCACCGTTTCTACGGAGGTGGCATGCGCGTTGGCCGGAACTCCCCCGTGGGATTTGGAGGCGGAAGTGCTCGCCGAAGTTTATCGGCGAGTGGCTGACTCCCGGGCGGAGAGCGGATTTCGCCCTCCGCCCGAGGATGTGCGCGAGTGGCGCGAAGCCGCTCGCCGAGCCACGATGGCTCGTTGGTCGTTCCGGCTGGAGACTCCACGCGCTGGCTTCGCCGCCGTGGAGGCTCTCCAGCCGGTCATCGCCGAGTGGGCAGGGCGGCAGCACGGGACCCTTTCCTTCTGGCTGACGCAGGTGCTTTCCGGGCACGGTTGCTTCGGAAAGTACCTGCACACGGTCGCTAGGAGGGAACTGAGTCCCGCCTGCCACCACTGCGACTGCAGTGAGGACTCGGCCCAGCACACGCTGGCGGTCTGCCCCGCATGGGCGGCGCAGCGCCGGGCCCTCACTGCAGTCATCGGAGTGGATCTCTCGCTACCGGCCGTAGTACGCTCCACGGCCGGTAGCGACAGTTGTTTTACCGCGGTCGCAACCTTCTGCGAGGTAGTAATCTCGCGGAAGGAGGCGGCGGAGAGGGCCCGGGAGGACGACCTCCACTCGGACCCGATCCGCCACCGGCGAACCGGGCGGCGGAGGCCCGCCTATCACAGCCTCATGCCGCCCTGAGTGTGGCCGCGGGTGGACGGGGTGGGTTTCCCCTCCACCCGCATTAGTTTGGCCAGCCGCGAGGGGGCGGCGTCCGCGTGTGCCGGACGTCGCCTAAAGAGAGGAAAATATTGAGACGGAGCCCGCACCAGGAGCGGGCTGGCGCTAGGAGGGGTCCGGATGTCTTAACAACAGCTGTTCCCGGATCCCTCCTGTTACAGGCGCAGAGTGGCACACCGTGTGGTTTTAGTCGGTCCGAGTCCGACACACCACCCCGCCGCAAACCCCGGAGGGGTGACGGTCCGAGGGGATTTCCACACGTTAAAAAAAAAAAAAAAAAAAAAAAAAAAAGGGTTTGCGTCAAGTTTTAATTCTCTTTGCAGTGCTGTTGTCCTGCGTAGTTTGCTTCCTTAGTCGACTCTTACGACACCTACGGGATGAATCCGGGTGGTGACACTCCGTATTCTTAACCCGTCACCACACGGATGGACATCACATCATTATTTAACTTTATGCACTATTGTACATCGTCGGACTTATGCCCAGGGTATACGCTTTCAGTCAATCTTTAGGTGGTGTAGAAAGTTTGTATAGTGCACAGAGGTTACATATTATGTAATCAATAAAAATATACACGGTGCTCTACATACACAAACTTATGCATACACACATATATATCATCACACAAAATATAATTTTGTAACAGATACTTGTACTAACAAATATGTCGTATTAAAAAGAAGTATTTCTTACCACTATGTTGCCGGAGTCGAGTCCCATAGCGAGTATGTTCCCGTCGGCAGTGAGATCACAGGATACGATTACATTATTCAGTTTATATTCTTTAATAGTTTGCAGCCTTAATTCGTCATCCAGTTTCAGTTCATACGTCTAAAAGTACATGATAAATACTTTTTTTAATAATACGTTTTTTTTTAGATTAACGTCAGACTAATACAGATATAGATAGCTGGTGACGTTGAAGAAAATGAAAAATGCTAATTAAGAGCAGCGAATTGTATGTTATTTTTGTTAAAAACAATTTTATGAACTAAAAGCTAAGCTATAAAGCCAATACTAAGCGCAAAACTCAAAATATTTTGGACCGATATGGCAGGTTGTGTATGTCATTATAGTCCGAATAAGGTTTTAATTCGGGGAAAACAAATTATTAAAATTTTGAACATACACAGTCTGTCGGGACAGCTAGTTTAAAATATATTCAAAAAAGAGTATCCTCAGGGTAGAAACTGTATATATATGTATATGTAAATAAAACAACTTTATAATTTAAAAATCATAAGCTTACCTGAAACCTTTTATGAGGTTCATCACAAATAGCAAGAACATTATTTTGGAAGGCGGCAGCAGTAATATAGGCATCCGCTTGACGTCCTATGAGTATGGTTAACATTTTTAGATTCTTGTCCCACAGCTTAGTAGTGGCGTTGCATTCTACTGTTATCATCCCCAGATCTGGGATCCAGAAGCAGTCGACTAGGCCGCTACCCTTGAAAAGACTTTTCTTTTCTCCATTTCGGAAGAAGCGTTCTTTTGAATTAAGGCTAGATTCACTACTGGAGCTGGACAGTTTGTCAGTGTTCTTCTTCTTAATGCCTAAAACAGCGAGAGCTATCATAGCGTGAATATAACTTGAATGAATATTTTTATTTTATTTTATTTTATTATATTTGGGGAGCTTACGGCTAAATTTACAAAATACATATTATGTTAATTATCTAGGTGCCATTTACAAGCTTCCACACGTAGTATATATATATCATAATTAAGATCATCTTAAGTAAACTAATTGACCTTAAAACTAAAGGAATTCTTCTACACATTTCCGGCACGGCGCCAGCCTTTACTCCGGGAAAAGAGGGGTTTTTATTGAGTGATAGGGATAGAGCTATCATTTTACCAAGTTTCAATTTACAGGCAGAGGCGAGTAGATAAGTTGAACAAACTTTTAAAATTTAGCTTCTATTGAAAACATCGGCGCTTATTGAATACAAATTAAATATCCTAAGGCTCTTCAATTCCTTCCGTTATTACTTTGTATTATTAAACTAATTACACAAGTCAGATGCGGTGAAAGAATAAAGGCTGGAGTTTAATATTAAATACAGAGTTTATGACAAAAATAAGTTGTTTCAATTATTTCCTAACACAGTAGATATACGAGATATTTGTATATTAAGACTATGTGCACTATTCTGTATTCCCCTGATTATGGGTCGTAATATAAGATTCTGTAGGCATATAATTATAAATGTTTATATAAACCTAGCTAAATTTAACACTTACCTTGGATATCATTCAGTATTTCTTGGGACCCTAAATTGCTGTTACCCTTTTGCAACATTTTTGTCTTCCACATACCAGTCTCCGAACATAATTGGTACGCCATCAAACATCTATTCTGTCCGGAGACTATTAGCAAGTTTGAATTTACAAAATTTAAGTATTGCACTTTACTGTATACATCCATTATGATCACAGTTTCTTTGGTGCGGAGGGTGTATTTCTTGACAGCACCCGACTTGAGCCCGTAGATAACATATTGATTGCACGGTGCAATTTTCACCCGTGTTATATACTCATCCGACTTTTCTGAGATTTCTGTTAACACTTTTTGGCCGCGCATCACCTGGTCATCAGATATGAAATAATTTTAGGTCAGGTAATAAAGACTAACATACAGGATATGTTTATTCTCATCGTTTACTTATTGAACGCACTTTTACAAATCCGAAAACAATTGTAGTAATAGTTTAGTTCTCTTGTTCGTACACATTACAAAATAAGGTGTTTTCAGACAACTTCAAAACTGAGATTGTAAGTTTTAATACAATATTAAATTAGATACATAGAAATATCTTATACAAATTAGGACACTTACTGTTAGCACATAGAGCACTATTTATGAGTATTATTTTCTTTAGATTCACATAACAGTATTTTTTTTATTTATGCACTGTAATCACATACTAGGTCATAAAATACCAAAGGTGTTAATTATATTATTTATTGTTTGTGTATGTGTGTTAGTTGTCCTGTGAAATACATTAGACACAACGAATGTTATGGTTATTAAAACTTTACATTATCAAGAAACGCAAAAATCTTTCATTTGCTTACAAATAAAATTATTAACATCTTTACATAGTTTACATATATTTTTAGCATATCAAAATTATCTTTTTCTTTTAATTTACAGTTTAATGTTTACTATTTTTTATTACCCTAAAGGGTCTCATCATAGTCAGGAAATTGTTTAACATTACATACCTGTATATTATTTTTGTCATCAACCACTGCCAACAAAGGTTGTGGGAACCCATCGTTGTTGTTGCAGATACCCTTCAAGTTCAACGGTTTGAGCTGGTGCCTGTCCAAACTCAATGTGTTTTTAAGAAACGTTTTGGTAACTTCTTTATGGTTCGCGAAAGATTGATGCCTTTTGGGAGTGTTGTCAGCACTTACTCCACTATTGGAAGTCGAAGAGCTTGGTGTTTGAGGTGAGGCTGGGTTTAAAAAACTCACGTCAAATTTTGTGGTAAGACGAACTCTCCTAAAAGAAAAGTATGGCATGTAAGTTAATTAATTTCTTATAAAAAAAGTGTTGGGGTGCTTTTTACTATTGACAACAGGCACCCAACGCTTTTTTCAAATTTATTTTCTATTTTTTAGTTTGGTTTTCTATAGAAACCGTCTTTTTTAGTTTTTTACAACTATAATTCTTTTCAACTTTTTTTTTTAAATTAGTGTATTGTCATCGGTCCTCGATATATCTACAAAGTTTGAACGAATTCTGACCGTTTAAAGTCAGTCAAAATCACAAGTCGACGCCCAAAGGAGTCGGTTACAAACATACAAGTGAAGCATTAGCTTCACTTGTATGTTTGTTATATAAAGCATGTAAAAACAGTAGTAGACTATAACCCGGCAATCTCGTGTGCGACCGTCCCGCGGAGTGACAGACAGTGGCGGGGACGAGGTAGCGCGTCATTCTAGCACACGGTTACACACGAAGAGAAGTGTTTCCCTTCCCCGCTACACCACCCGCTACCCGCTGACATCGTGAGTACCTCGTCCCCGCCACCGTCTGTCACCCCGCAGGACGGTCGCGCACGACGTTGATGGACTATAGCTTTAGTAACTCTGCTGAGTGCTTTTAAAACTTTTACAATATGACAATAGAAACTGTAGTTTATTAATTCAGTAAGTGCATCAATGTCTTGCCCAGGGCACAATTATGTGCACTATAAGGCCGTGATCTTCACTTTCCACAATGGTCCTGTGTGACGTTAATATTAGTACAGATTTGTGGGTTAGTTTTCAACGGAAGTTACATTGATTAATTTTGTTATTACCAGTACTACACACTACTGCTAATATTACTATCAACAATTACCCGGTAAGTTGCAATCCAGTTTGCCAAAATATGTCATATGACTTGTGACAAGTTTCTCAATAAAGGATATTCACAACATCGCCGTTACTTTAAATGATGTAAAATAAGAAAGTTAAGAGATTATTTATGAGTATTAACAACAAATACAAGTCGCTAGAGCGACGGTTAACGGGAAATACCTGTGACCTCGAAACCCAAATTACCTATCAGTCTGTGTTTTATTCATTGCCTAATCAAAGTCAAGGAATCTGTAAGCATACTGACCCATTCTTTTGCGCAGTTTGTGATATGTACGACTGGTCCAAGTACCACACCTTGGCATTATCTTCAATAGTGCCAGTACCGGTGAGAAGGACATCGGAGCCGGGTTCAAATTCGTCATACGTCAATTCGCTGCAAGCCATTGACACTACATTGCTGAAAAAAAAAATATATACAGACTGTTCGACTTTCATAAATTATTTTATAATTATTTTTAGCTTCACAAGTACTAGTATTAACGTGTGGTGAGAGATTAAGAATACGGAGTGTCACTACCCCTATTCATCCCGTGGTTACGGGACGGGCCCATGGAATTAAAGGGCCTCCGTCTTATCTAGGGCCACCCGTAATCCCAGCACGTCGATACACCCGACCACCTGAGACTCCCCCGGCGGCAAGGCGCGACGCCTCTTGAAAGCTGTGACTAATGTTGTTGTAACCAAAGGCATATCATCGGCATAACAAATTACGCCCAGCCCGGAACGAAAATAAAACACCTTAACCTGAGTCAGTTTTTAAAAAAGTAAAAAGTAAAAAAAAAGCACTTTTGGCGTACCACTATCTGAATGTCCTACTTACCCTCGCCTATTTTCAAGGTCAAACGAGGTTGTATACGTCTTAAGGTCAATACACACAACCCGACTATCGTTAGTCGAAACGAAGAGGAGCGTTCCACTCTTATTAACTGCTATAGCCAAAAAGGCAATGTTTTCCTTTACATCGTCGCTTGCAATCACTCTTTTACTTCTATATAGATTAGTCTTCACTGAGTTTAAATTAAATTTTATTTCGTATTCCATTACTTCCTGAGCTTTTAATGTTATTATTTTATTACTACCTGAAAAAAAATAGAAAATATAAGATGGAAGAATATACTAAGAATAAACTGTCTTGCGCAGCACTAAACAAGAGTTAGTTTTGAATATTGACAAATTTGTCCTGGAGATTTCAAGAAATCAATTAACTGGCATTATCGGTGTTATATTCTCAGATTTTCTTACTAACGTAAAAAGATAACTTCGTAAAATAAAAAAACGTACTGGCGAGAAAGTGAAAGCATCTCTCCGATTTTCAGTTGTTCAAGAATTACTTTTTGTAGTCAAGTAGTAAGGATCAAAACATGTAAAAAAACCTAAATAAAATATGTATAAATGTAACAAACACCTTATTAAATTCAATTATTAAAAAAGGACACCTTTCGCCATGTCTAAAAAAAAAAATAAACAGTGAAAAAGTTCACTTCGTCGTTTGTGTTGGTTACACGATCGTAAGCATATTCAAACAAACAATTATACAAAAAACATGAAGGACTTACCAGGAACTGTAACTATATCTAAAACAATATCAGTCTCTTCAAACGTAATGACTCTCTCCTTAGATTCCAAATTGATTACCTCCATAGATATATTATTATTACAAACTGTAGCCACAACTGCATAGCGGTCATGGTTGCAGGGCACGCAACAGAGGATCTCTCGATCCCTCTCAAAGTCTATGGTATCAATGATTTTATTCTTCTCGTGAGGGAAAGGATTGTGCAACACGATCATTTTCTTCGTATGCGATATTAAGTACTGTTCGTTGTTTGACCACCTACAATTTATGTATGGCCCTAGTTTTGGTCTTATTGTTTCAGTTTCGGCGCAGTGGCTATTGTACAAATCCTCTGATTCTGTAAAAAAGAGTAATTTTTTTTAGTATACCTTAATATTAATCGTATGGTTCTATGCCCGATATTCCCAGTAGTTTTATTGGACACATTTCGTATTTACAAAAGTATACATTTGTCAACCGCCATATTGAGTGATTATTTTGTGTTTTCTTTACATACTCGTAGGTATATAAAAATATTTATTATAAAATTTTATGCACTTTTGTTCATCGGCGAAATTTATTATTAATTCTCTTCCAATCAACCTTTAGGTAATTTAGAAATCTTGTAAGCCAGGCGCGCAGATTGTACATTAGTAATAAAATAATAATAATATATTCTACCACATTCACACAACGCCATCTAGTCCCAAACTAAACAAAGCTTGTACTATGGCTACTAGACAACTGATATAAATACATATATACTTTTTTTTTTGTAAATACATACATATTATACATAAGAACACCCAGACCAAATCAAACATTAAATTTGTGTCCGTTTCATGTGTGTTTGTAAAGTCCCCCGCGACACAGGATATATTCCTAATGCATGAGTTGTCGTAGTTCTGCATCTAAGTCAACTTTAGAACAAAATATATGCATAAGGAGCTTCGACAGGTAGTAAAGTAATATCAGGTTCTTATAGAAAAATATTTGTTCAGTATATATTGTTAATTTTTTAGTTTTTACGTTAGACGTATTTAAATGACCTTGACTAAGTACGTACATTTATTTATTCCGTGTTATTGTTTTCATTTCAGTGCTCTATTACGTTTGTTAACATTAGAGTTTTCCTGTTGCTTGTTATCTAGTTTAACAGTTTTAAAACGTTTAACACAATATTTTATCATTTTATAAAGCCTGTGGTAAATGTAGTAGCATATTAGTTGGCTTGATTAGGACGACTTAAAACATTCGGCATGTCATTAATCCGTGTGGTGACGGATTAAGAATACGGAGTGTCACCATCCCTATTCATCCCGTGGGTGTCGTAAGAACCGACTAAGGGAGTAAACTACGCAGGACAACAGCACTGCAAAGAAAAGTAAAACTTGAAACAAACCCTATACCGATCTGTCTGGCCAGCATGGTATAGTAGGCAAAAACCTTCTTTCCAAGGAGAGGCCTATGTCCAACAGTGGACTAGTAAAGGCTGTTGATGATGATGATCTTCATATTTGTTAGCAATCCCCACCTTCTGTTTACCATACAAGAAATGTATCACAATGATAAAGCTTCATCAATAATAAAACTTACCTTCTTCAATAATATCATTATTATCATCGTACTGCACGTCGTCGACATACCATAGTTTAATAGTACCGTCTAAGAACAGTGCTACGACTATCTGTGGGTATGTAGAACAACATACTCCTATCCATGTTATAGGCAGTCGTGGACCACGCAGCTCCTTCCGAAGCTTATTTGTTGGAATATGAAAGAACTGAAAAGATGTAAAAAAGCTTTAGCTTTTAAAATTGACTTGCCCACTTATTTTAATTTATAAAAATTTGGCATGAAAAAATAAAAATAATATTTTGTAAGTATAAAAATAATTTAACTAACGCAATCGAAGTATTTATTTAAAAATATATATGCATAAACGTTTTATTGTATCAGACAAATAGTCTTTCTAGATAAAATGTGTGTTGGCCTGCAAACATTGCACTGTGGAGTTTATCTTTTAAAACAGTTGTTAGTTGTTTAAATTAGTTACTTTAGTATACCACTTTAGAAGGGTTCATCAGAATGACTTACCATGTTACAGTAATATTAATTATCTTCCCTAACGCATTTGGAACATGTCGCAGATATGGTTAATATCCATCATATACAATACGGGATAGATTAACTGTTTGAGACAGAAACATGTCTGTTTTCATTTTTTGTGTCACTCTACCTCAAAACAGTAAATTTTTGTCATATTTCTAATATTTTAAGATGGTATGGGATGCTGACTATTAAAGATATTAAACCATTACAATAATATTAATTATATTATTGTTAACATTCACTGTACCTTAACGACGCCAGAGCAAGTTCCAACAAGTACGAAGTCACCAAGAAAACACACAGCTTGTAACTTTTCTTTGACATCAATTGTTGAACGTTTTATTTCTTCCACGTTCTGTTCATGCCTAATAATATTTTCGTTATTGAGGGTGATAAAAAGTGAACACATAAGAAAGGAAAGGTAAAGACTTGTTGTGACATGAATCACACTAGTAAGTTATTATTAATACAACCCCCCACCCGCCTCTGCCTTCTTAAGCAGCCAATCACCTATTTTAGGTTCATATTGTATAAATTAACAAGGTAACGATTTGGTCGCAAGTTCAACATTAAATCCCGTTACAATATCTCCTATTCTAGATATTCAAGCAGTCTTATATGGATTTAACAGGTGGACAATAAAAAGATTACAAAGCAACGTATTACAGTAATTACTTAGGACAGGCAACGATAAGCAGAGCTTAAAAAAAAACTTTCAATTAAGTTTATGATCAGTTCCCAAAAAAAATCGAAATATACTTACAAGAATTCAAAATAAAGATCATGTTTACTACAGTTTTCTTGAGCGATCTCATTTGCTTTACTAAGCAATATACCTTTATGTTCATGTTGTAAAATGCTTTGGATTATGTTGGTGCAAGGGTAATGGTATAAATCTCCTCCATGGGTGCTAAGGAACGATTTGATGGTGTATAGGAGGTCCAAATCCAGCTTCTGAAATGATTAAGCGTGTAGTGATAAGCAGCCGACACGGAGCTTAAATATTTTTAGAAAGAATACTTTAATTTTGGCCTAATGGATCATTTGTATACAACATAGTCTAACAGAACATACTATCACTAGCACAAACCTTGGTAATTGTGACCCAGACCCCTGTAAATTTCTCTAATATTTATTGTATTATGAATATGTGGCGTAATAACTGATATATAATAACTATAGACTGAAGGGCATTTAAGTACAAGAGAATTTACTAAAAAGTAAACAAAGCTGAGTGTTGTTAAATATACTTACATCAGTACTTATATAATTTTCATAGTTTTGAAGGTCGGCGATTACATCAGCTGATCCTGTCAGTCTCACTTTATTCCCCAAAAATTTTAGGTTGAGAAACAGTTTATGAAATAAGCTCCACAAATTGTTTAAGTTCTCAGTATGTTTTATGTGATACCCGATATAATACGCTATGTAGCCATCGTTGACGATTTCTACTGGGGCATTGTTGCTATCATACTGATAACTATTAAGCAGTTCTGCGTGTATTTTTTTTCTATCTGCTCCTGTACTTCTTAAGTAATTCATTATTAGATCATGTACCTCATAGAGGTAGTTCTTTTGTTCACGATCATACATTTCAATTATCAGTGATTTGCTTCTCAGTTGCTTCATTATAGCTTCTACTTCTGGTACATCTTTGTTCCATAGTTTGCTAAGAACACTTGCTGACACTTTGACATTATCCGGTAGGATTTTAAGCCTATGGTATAAAGGTCGTACAACCTCATTCAAAGAGTTTATGCATACTTCTATAGTTTTCATTGGGTTGTTAGTGTGGTATCTCGGTATACTACGAAAAAAAACATGTTTTCAGTATGAAGCCTAATCTACATTACTACTTACAGCAACACATACAGAGTTTATTTACTAGGTAAGCTAAACATGAATTGTTTGTGTTGCACCCGAGTGTAAATTATTACATTTTAGGTTTCAATTTGTTAAAGTATCTAATAGTGTAAATAAAAGTACAATAAAGTATTTATTCCGTCAGTGTAATAATAAACGGTAAACACAATAGTAAGATGGTCTAGTCACCAAAAAATAAAATAAAATATTAATTTCAATTCATTATTTTTTAGACATTAATTTTACAATTCATATCGATATTTGTTATCTATTCTACAAATGTGTGAAAACTTATACCGTATTAAATTACGTAAATTGTATTTTTTTGTTAAATTGCAAAAAAAAACAATATTTTATGTATTGTTCATCATTATTTTAATTATACTTATATATTAATTTATATATAATTTTTAACTATACTTATATAGTTAATAATTTTAAATGCATCAAAATTGCAATAATAATATTTGGTGTTTAGCGTTTTTATCAATTTATGCACGAAAGTGTAAAATTTAAATGCATCTATTGAATAAAGTTTAGTAGTCTATGGTTGATAATAATTTCCTTAGGATAAAATAAAAAATCATAAAAGTGTGCAATGCCCCATTTTAGATGAAAGCTTTTCATTGTATACATAGTAAAAAAAACACTTACGAAAAATATTCTTTCTTCTTGAACATTTTCACAAAGTAATTCCAATATTTTGGGTCGTCCATTAGCTTTTCTTTATTTTCTGCCAATTGCGCTCCAATCAGTCTTATATGGAATGGAATTCCTTTGCAATTATCATGAAGTTTATTCGCTTGCCGTGGTAAACTTGATACATTTACATCTAGAAACGATGCGAAGACTGCCAGGGATTCTTTTTCTTCTAAGCAATTTTTTATCTACAACATTACATAAATTTAATATAATTTGTATAGAAATATACTTTTTTACATATTAAAAACCAAACAATTGTTTTTACTACTAGTCGGATAGAATTGGCAGAAAATGGGTCCAAATATCGTAGAATTGATAACCTCCTTTTTTATTTGTTAGTTGACAACGTTAGGATTAACATATTTCATTTCAACGCGGATCCGTTCGTGGGAACATTATTTAAAAAAATGACAGAAACGGTTTACCGCGTTCTACAAGAAAACTTCAAATCATACAGAGAAAGTGTAAATGTACAAAAAATGAGACTAGTAGAGTCCCGATTGGTTGACGGTTGGCCACACCAAAGTTGTTTATCATTGTGTATTTATTAAATACCAGATCCACATGGGAGGATGCACACAAATATTTACATAATATAAATATACAATGACGCTTGACTAATATACTTAGATATTCAGAATAAAAAGCGTTGACAACCTCTAGACTAACTTTTCAACAGAAGTATAATGTTTTCAATATTAATAAAGGTTTATTTTTAAAAAATACCTTCAAATAGTGTGAAAATTGTTGTCCAGTTTTGATTTAAGGTTATCAATTATTATTTTTGTCAAATATATATTAAAATAATTGATTTGACAACAGTAAGGCTATTATATAACAGTAAGACTGTTTCCTACTATTTTGTCATTTACTAAAAAATACTGAACAGATATATACACAGTCATCTATCCTACTGTTTTTGTGTATCAGGTACAATTATTTGTAATTGATTTATTAATCAGCTTAATATATAAAGGAAAATAACTACGGACTGTCGTTATATAACAAGTAGACTTCAAAGTTGTTGTAATGAGTTATTCTGATAAACCAAAATGGAGTGATTGCTTCAGAATCATGAGTAGAATGTATCGTGTGGGTAGTAATGCGTAGGTTACAATGACGTAGATATTTGATGAATTAATAAGTCTTTTTAAAATAATTATCAGGTTTGTTTACAAGTAAAATGTGGAAAAAGTTAAATTTAAGAAACTAAATAAAAAATTAACAAATGCCAAATAATATATATAATATATTGGACGGTGTCGGTGATTTTATGGATGTGTATATATTGAGGGAGGACGAGGTTTTTGGATTTGAATATTAGCAAAAATAATAGCAAAACAAGTTTATCTTGTAAATAATCTAAACATATTTGTTTTTAACAATGAAACACCTCGCCGAGTGATCGATATACAAGAAATACATAAATATTAAGGTTACGTTGGTTGTGCTACATACAAAGGTCGTACATGTAACTAAGAAGTACATTTTATATAAATGTTTCTCTTTCATGGTATAAAGTCATGATCCTTTGCACAGTTAATGACGGTAGATCAGTTGTGTGGACCCGAAATATAGGCAGAACGTTTGCCTGTAATAAACCTTTTCCTGCGCCGGATTGGGCCATGATCTGCTACACAACGAGTTGATCCGTCCGTTGATTGTCCCACCGAATAATTTGCTTTTTACTTTGAGGAGGACTTTGAGGAGTCTTTAGTACTTTCTTTGAGCAGTACAGGTTGGACTCAACACAAGTATGACCATTAAACCATAACCATTACTCGTAAAGAATCCAGAGATGCTGAGTGCTTCCTTTAGCTATAAATATAGACGTATGCTAAGTAATTATATAAAATAAATTACCTCAATAATCTCAGGCGAATAAGTAGCCACCACATCTGTATCTCTCGTTGTTACTAATATCTTGCATCCAACATCGAAAGCATCGAAACATCTTCGATCATTCACTTCGTCCAAAATGAGAAGGCCATCTTTTAAAGGAGGTTCAGAAAATTGTGTTTTCAGTTTATCTTTTAGATCACCTGACGTCCAGTCGTATGTTGAGGACGATTGGCTGTCAACGTTGGAGCCAATACTCGACATCGATATAGAAGTGGTCATGTAAGAGTTATTCATGTACATAACCGATGCTTTACGTAGTAGTCTGTGGTGAGAAAACATTATATTAGGGGAAATATTATACACATTTATATTCAATGTCGCACAGCACACAATTTAAAACATTTATTACAGATTTCATAATTAGTTAGGAACTTAATGTTGTTATTTAGACTGCTAATGTAAATAAATCGGTTATGCTGAAATGTCTAAAAATACAAAAAAGAGATCTATTTATTGCTTTTTATTATTTTATTTTGTCTTTTATTTTTTCTTCAAATCCCGTTTTAAAAGTTAACGATAATCTAATTTAAGTACAATTTTGCTAATTTAATGACATAATAATCCTCATTTTATATTTAATGAGCAAGGTATGAATGATATTGGCCATTTTCAACAATCAATACTAACATTAAAAACAGAATTAGGTAATCACTTGATGGGTTTATTGAATTACATTTACACTATACTAGCTGAACCCTGGCACACTTCGCTGTGGTACATTGTGGTTTCATTGATAAGAATCACGAAACAAAACTGGCGCCAAAAATAGATAAAAACATTCTTTAAAGCGGTTAGTATATTGTGTCAAAATTTGAGCTCAATCGGTGCAGAACTTTCGAGTTCTTAAAGCGTACACAAACCAAATTAACATTTTATGTATGTATATAGATTATATTTTCTTATATTATGTTTTAAAAATCACTAAATGCAAAGCAATCACTAAATGTAATAAATATTTTAAAAGTTCAAGTTTTAATTTTGTTTAATAAGTCTTTCCGTTCCAAAGCTAACATTGCCTTCGTATAATATTTTGAACTGAATATATATTATAAAACTTACTTGCTTTGTAGCGTAACAATGTCATCATCAGTCTTGCAGTTACCAAAGTCCAGCCAAAATACGATATTGTTAAAATGGTTGGTGATGAGATCAGGGTTGTTTCGTAAGGTACTGAGGACGACGCAAGTCTTACCGCAGCCCGACATGCCGTGGACGGCAACTATTTTGTGGCGGGTCAGCTGCTTTAAACTGTCTGCTAAATTTTGTTCCTAAAAAAAATAGATAGATAGATAAAAAAACTCTTTATTTCTCTAAACTCTTACACCGTTTTACAAAGATCCTACTTTAACTTTCTCTTTACTCTGTACCATACCAATGTGAGACATGGAACGTAAAAAACGTACGGATAAGATCGTTTTAAATGCATGGAAACAGTCGTGTTTTACGGATTCTTCGCCAGTTACATATACATGTGGTAATGTGGAGGTATATGTATATCCAAAACTTAAAAAAGAATACATTAAAGTTAAGGTGAAATAATGGGCTGGCCTCTGTAACTGTTTAAATATAAGTCTCTTAAGTACATAGTTAACTTACCAGCGACAGTCTTCTGACATGGTGTTCAGGTAACCGCGGCACGTCACCCTTACTGAGACTATCTTCAAAACTGTCGTTGGCCATATTATTATTATTTTCCAGACTTAGTTTTTCTCGAAGCCAGCTGTAATCTTTCGCTAGTACATCCACAAACGCCTCGTAAGACTCGTTGGTGCCGTTACGAATTAATATTTCTAAAAGGCAACGTGTTTGGTCGGCACTGTTTTGCTGAAAAAAAATATTTTTTTGGAAATAGTTGGCCAGTCGACAAATGTTACAGATTCTGCTGAGGTTTAAATCTTCATATATTAGTTAATGTTTAATAATTTCATTATTTCCAGTAATACTAAAAATCATAGTATTCATTACTATGTTTTATAATATTACACAAGTTTATACGTTAGTCGAAAAGTCGAAACGACAATCTTTCTGATTTGTTTTCATCGCAATTTATAATAATAGACGTCGCATGACGTTCCATTGCGTGCAGCATCTGTCGTTGGAGATGGTAGTGTTAATAGGGTGTTGTGACAACAGGCTATATTTACTCATTCCTTAATAAAAAAAATCTACATTCATTTGAATGTAGTTATGATTAGTAAATTATAAGACTGACAAGAACAAGACAACACTTACCAATTTGGCAATACGATCAAAATCCTCACTCGATATGACATTCTTCGTAAAGAGTGCATCCACTATGTAACTGACGTCTAAATCATGAATGATGGCCTGCTGATGCTGCTGCAGCAGCTGCTTCTTCTTAATATCCATGTTTGATGTGGATTAATCATCTATAACAACATTATAAATGATTCATTGACATCCTTTGACTGACGTAATAAGCAATGTTAAAAAAAATTGCAATTTTAAATACCTTTACAACATTAAATGTAAAATGCACAAACAGTTGTATAATAATATCACGTAAATATAACAGAATATTAACACAAATGTAAAAAATAATCACGACGACACACGTGTCCAGTGTTGTAGATCAAAATTCACACTGAACATAAATATGTATATTTGAATAATTCGAAATAGATTTGCTGTGGACGAACGACCTTGTATATTGGATCCACCTACATAATAAGATAAGTAAACAAGCACTTTTTTTTTTGAAATTTTAGTCAAGTCATTGACCGTTCGATGATTGTCAAGGCCCTCAGTTATCGGCGCCCGTTTTACACGACTACGTAATTTTCCTCGTATCAGTGATTGCAAACAATTACGATTTAGGTACATATACATACATACATTATAAACAATATCAAATAAATAGTAGATATTGGCAACATTTGAAGGTAAAATTGATATTTTAAAGTATTCAAATACGGTTTTTATATGAGTATGAATGCTTTGAAGAGTACAAAAGAAATCAGGTCACTTTTAGGCAGACTACACTTGATTGATCTTATATAGACCTTAACGCAATGTTTAGCTCAAGGGGGCTCGCGAACGATTTAAAATGACGAACATATTGCAAGCTGCATGTAATGGTTTAACTATTATGTTTACCGGAATTATTGGAGTTTAGACTGGAATATTAAAAATAGTTTTTGAATTCGTAGAATTTATGGAGTGATCTACAAGATTACTGTACCTACATAAAACATTACATTCACATACCCATACTGAAACCTGTGTCTAATTTCAATAAAAATAAAACATAATTTTATTTTCATTAAAATTTAGATACCACTTAATGAATTTAACTAAAACTAAATATTTTACATATTTAGTTTAAGTTCTAGGAGCTAAGGAAGCTGTGGAGTCTCTAAAAAGTGAAATATTTGGTGAATTTTAATAAATGAATGACACAGTTCCATCTAGTATAATTTTTCGGCTGTAACTTCAAATTTGGCTCAAATTAGATGCCAGTTTAAAAAAATGAAGGTTCTATATTAGGTTATGGTGGTTTATATGATACCTAAACTTTACTGTACATATCCGTGTGGTGACGGATTAAGAATATGGAATGTCACCACCCCTATTCATCCCGTGGGTGTCGTAAGAGCCGACTAAGCGAACAAACTGCACAGGACAACAGCACTGCAAAAAGAAGGAAAACTTGACACAAACCCTATACCAACCCGTCTGGCCAGCGTGGTATAGTAGGACAAAACCTCCTTTCTAAGGAGAGGCCTATGTCCAGAAGTGGACTATTATAGGCTGTTGATGATGACTGTACATAACGCACAGGTCTAGATTATAATGATAATTTTAAACCAATTCAGTTAAGACTATCCAACGATTTTGGAAGATACCCTTTTTTTAAGGAAATTAAAAACATAAAATAGTTAGTTAGTTGTAGAAAATTTGTTTTAAATTAGTGGCATAATGATTTTTCTGGCTAAAGTTATGATTAAAATAAGAGAAACAAATAATCGATTTGTATGTACTCATTATTAAAAAGTCTAATCACATTATCTCTTGCGATTTTATCAATAGGTAAACATAGCAATAACATAAGTTCTTTCACCCTAAAACGCGATCAAAACAACGGGCTCTTAAAGCTAAATAATATATGTTATATATAAAATTCTCGTGTCACAAAGTTAGTTACCATACTCCTCCGAAACGGCTGGACCGATTTTTATGAAATTTTGTGTGCACATCGGGTAGGTCTGAGAATTGGCCAACATCTGTTTTTCATACCCCTAAATAACAAGGCTGACCAACCCCTATTTTTTTTTATAAATAATGTGTACGGCAAAACAAGGTTTGCCGGGTCAGCTAGTGTGTGTGTATAGTCCATAAAAATTTACACATAGAGGAATTCTTTATACCCTTTTTTAAACTTAGAATATTTACATAGAATACTTAATGTTTACATGTAGAAAAGTGCATAACGTTAAAAGATTCAACCAATAAGTGCTATAATGTTTAATATTATGTACAAACGGCTGAATAAAACTATAGGGTTCAAGAGTATATTTTGACCTGCCATGGTTAAAAACTCAAGTAATGAAGAAAAATAAGTAATTTTCGAAGGAAGTCACTTTGGCCGAACTTTTATTACGAGAATAGGCCTTCTGATCTCTGACGGACTCAAATTCTAACTAAAGGTGTTGATGAGTCCTCTTTGAACTCGCCTGAAAGTAGAAGAGTCCTTCCAACGTTTTAGAATCCCGTATATTTTGTTTTTCTTTTTGATATAATTAGTGTGTTTCAAAAATACATCTTATGGGTTAGTTGAACCGTACGACTGGGATACTAATATGGTTTGACTTTGAACATGACACCTGACTAAATAGTTTGACCCAAGGTAATGTGAATCATGTTTGTCTTGTTCTGAGTATGTATCCATTTGGAAATCGCAGTCTGGTCTATAAGAACGTTCAAAATAAGTTTCTTGATGCTCTCATAGGCATAAATAAATCACATTTCGCAGTTTATTACTACTTGTTTTAAACAAGCAACAAAGGCATCGAAGTAGTTTTTTTCTGAGTATTTCTTATTATGTACTTAATAGATTTCTTCCAGAATTTTATAAGTTAGGCGATACCTAACAAGTTAGGATATACCTACCAGTTCAACATTACAGGTTTTTAATATTAACAGTAACTAAGGCGTAAGTAACTAAACAGTTGACTGATTTGTAAGCTACTAAAATCAATAGTTTTATCGTACTGAAACCTTGAAAGCAAGCTTTGTCGATTCGTTTTAATTTAGACTTATCTCTTTATCGTTGTCGATAGAAGGTACCTGGAGTTTGAATGAAAGATTTGAATTAAGATCTCTAACTTAAAACATTATGATGCAACTTAGTATAAAATGCAAGTTATCCAAACAAACTTTTAATTTATTAACCATGAATACCTATACGATGTCCGAAGTAGTTGTTTCGGATTGTTACAGATTTGTTGTTTTACACAATTTTTGGCACAAAATGTACAATACGGGTGTTGTACATTTTGTTCCAAAAAATGAAAAAAAAGATTAATTTAAAAAGAGTGACAGATGCAGCTACTTTTGTACTTGCGGCAGAGACGCCTGAAAAATCATGGTAGGATTATTCTATAACCTTTTAAGCACTTTAGATTTCTAAAGGGATTTAAAAAACAGGCGCTATTATTGCATGACTATAACGTCAGTCAACTAGTTTAAATGTAGATTTTTTATCTCTTGGTCTTACGTCTTCTATTCTATCTACAGCTTTTAAACACACCATTTATAAATATTTTGTGCTGACGATATATTTGCGTCAGTTGCTCCTTTAATTACGAATTCATTATCATGTTATGATGCCAAGGTCACCAGGCCTGTTGTTTACATATGTATAGTTGTCACTACTTGTCGTCAAATTAGTGTCATTTGAGCGGAAATTGGTCAAGTGAACTGATAACTAGCACTTATGGCATATCTATGTGTTTAAAAGCTGACTCACGAGCATCTAAACTATTGCTTCCTTAATTTAAATGCTAACTAACACTTTGCAGACTTACTACTAAATGCTTTAACATTAGAATAAACGATCCATAGAAGTTTTATCCGCCTATTGTGCATCTTTTCCATAAACAGATTATTGTGTTAATTTTTTTTGCAGTAAGAGGCAGAATATAAATATTCTTTGAACCCAATAACCTTGCCGGTGTGCATAAAACAACAATTAAACCGTTGTCTAGTACCTACTAAGAATTAAAAGTAACTTTTTATGTTTGTGGCTATTTTTAACTCTTATTTTGGCTTAGGTAGTCTTTTAAGATGGTTCTTAAAGCATTTCAGAGATTTTACAGTTTTCAAATTGTGAATTTACTTCTAATAACGCGAAGGTTTAGATTTAAAGGGATCCCTTTAAATCGGTGGTCTTGTCTTTAAAAGGATTTATTTAAATATAAAGATGACACATAGAATTTTGCAGACGCCTTAATTATGTTATGTAATGCGCGTTCGTTTCAGTGATTTTTGTAAAAACAAAACCCCGGCTAAAGATATTACTCATGTTACTACGCTACAAATGAGATCAGTAAGCAGAACTAGAAAACACTACGTTCATTGTTTGGCGGTTAGCATACGGGCGGAGGACAGTAGGTACTCTTTTACGCCACAAAACCTCTTAAAATTATCACGTATCTTGTGTAATGTGTTTATTTCTAGTATTGGTCATAAATCAAATAAAAATATACAAAGCGTCAAAAGCTTGCAATTTATTAAATTGTCATTAATATGTATTAGTCAAAATTAAATGTTGATTAGGTACACTTTTATACGTAAATTCGCGTAGATAGTTTTTGGAGTTTTTAATAGTTTGATTTAACCAACGAATTTCGTGTTCTTAAATTTTATATTGAGAAGTGCATAAAGCTACATAATAAGGCTGTAAGGTCCAATATATGTATATTTTAACCGGTGATGTTACAATTGTTAATTTTTTTCAATGAAAGAAAATAAGGTCGAAATACATCTGTCAGGCAATTTCTACTTTAGATTAAGTATAATTTTTTATATTACAATTATATTTTAATAATGTTTAAATTTGCAATATTCAATTAAATTAATCACTATAAATATTAATAATAACTTCACACAATTCACAAACGTCAGTCTGAACCGTGTCTGAACCGTAAGTAATTAATACACGAATGATCGAATGAACAAAATTAACTTTTATTCACATTTTATCCAAAAAAAAACTATCTTCTTCAAACATCTGTAATAACGAAATTATCACACTTAAATTTTGATTCTGTAAACATCACTTGCGAAATGATTCAGAATTTAATCTGCGCAATTTAGTTTGCTTTTACCACCTAAAGTTTATAAAAGAA